CCGATTACAATTTGCATGGTTGCATCTTGATTGGAGCATCTGTGACTGGAAGAGGGTATGTTTCAGTGACAAATCCAAGTTCAATATGTTTGGATCAGATGGTGTTCATTATGTTAGACGTCATAGTGGACAAGGATTGAACCCCAAGTGCACTTTGCCCACTGTCAAACATGGAGGCAGCTCTGTTATGGTTTGGGGGTGCTTTTCAGGGTTTGGGATGCGACCTTTACATAGAATAGATCCCAGTATGGATAAGTTTGTATACACAGACATACGAAAGCATGTCATGTTACCCTATATGGAAGACAATATACCCTTAAGATCAATCTTCCAGCAAGATAATGACCCGAAGCACACTTCAAATCTCTCAAAGAAATTCTTTCTGGATGAAAAAATACCAGTTCTCAAATGGCCTTCACAGTCTGCCGATATAAACCCCATTGAAAATCTATGGGAATACTCAGATAAGCAATTACGAGATAAAAATTATTCAAACAAGGATGAACTTTTTGCCGCTTAAGAGCAAAAGTGGAGACAGAATGATGAATCTTCTACATTCTATGCTGAGTCGATGCCAGGCAGTGATTGATAATAATGGTTATGCTACAAAATATTAACACAAACATGGTTGGTTTTCTATAACTGAATGAACTTTGCTTCTTTTTTCTATAATTGTTTTGCTTTATCTATATATTTTTGTCCTTCATAGTTCCAGTTTTTTCAATTAATTTTTTATTGAAGGGAGTCTAATGAACTTATTTATGTATAAGCGAGTATTATGCTATAACGAATTTTATATACAGGTTGGTGTATTAATAAAACAAGTTAAAAAAGAAATACAGCACAATTTTAATTTGTCTATATACTTTTGTCCATTACTGCATGTGTATTCAAAACCTTCAACGTTGTTTTATATGCACAATGTGTGCATTCATGAATTCTAGAAGAAATGGACGCAAAAAACTCAGGATGTTCCTTGATTATATGATTATTTAGTCTATGTTTAAATTTAAATTTCGCATTACAGTGAATACATATGCTGAATTTACATACAGAGTTCGGATGTTTCAATGTGTGGCTTGCCGAATGATTCTTCATAGTCGTTTTATATTCACAATATTCACATTCAAAAATTCTAGAAGTAACAAATGCAATACAGTCAGGATGTTCCTTGATTATATGATTATCTAGCACCATTTTAGTTTTAAATTTTGCATTGCTGTGAATACATATGATTAATTTATAGTTACCTACTGACTCTGACTGTTTAAATAACATATGTCTAGCTAAACGAGACTTGATGGTTGTTGTGTAAGCGCAACGTGTGCAATGATGTAATTTACAAGACAAGGACGAAATAAAATCAGGGTGTTCCCTAATTATATGATCATACAGTGTACATTTCCTTTTGAATTTCGCATTACACTGAGTACATATGAATATGCCGAATTTATAGTTACTTGCTCTTTCTGTCTTAGAATGTTTCAGCATATGTCTCCTATAATTACCGTTATTGGTTGATTTATACGCGCAATGCGAACATTTATGAGTTTTACTAGAAACGGACTCGACAAGATCAGAATGTTGTTTAATGAAGTGATCATCTAGACTCCTTTTGGATCTGAACTTTGCATTACAGTGTATACACGTGTTATATTTATAGCTAGGACCGTGTTCATTTAAATTTCTATGTTCTTTCATATGCCTAACCAGAATATACTTATATCTGGCAGAATAATCACAAATATGACAATAAACTAAATTTCTGCTCAATTTTTTACAGGCTACAGGCCGCTGTTTCAACACACTGTAACAAAACAAACTATCATTATTTCAGACAATAATATTCAAGTTTTATGGAGTGACGGCGCTGGACCTAGAACAACGAGGGTGGTCCCAGAAGTACCCGGCCTGACCTAGAGATGGTGATAGTTGTTTGAAAAATATCATTGTCTTAGAAAGAAAGCATATGCGTCAAGTTTGAAGACACCACGTTGTTTAGTATTTGTTCTTATTATAGACAATAAATATTATAAAAAGTGTATCGAACTTATTGAACATCGCTGGGAAAATTCTATAGAGCTCAATGGAGAGATTATGTTGAAAAATAAATACATTTTTTTACAAATTTTTTGTGTTTTCTTCGTCGGGTCGGGTACTTCTGGGACCACCCTCGTACACTCTATTTTCCAGTCAGAAATCTTTGCGATTCTGGCTTGTGTATCTCGCATTCTGGAGGAGGCCGGGCCTAGGAGAAGAATAACAATCTTATCCGACAGCCAGGCTGCTATGAAGGCACAAGTGCCTTGTATTGCAATGCAGGGAGGCTCTGGATCGTCTCGCAGCGAGGCATCCGGTATCGTTAATGTGGGTACCGGGGCACGCTGGGATAAGGGGCAAAGACACGGCGGACGCTCTGGCGAAGACAGGATCAGCCAGCAAGCTCGTTATTCCTGAGCCAGCTTTAGGAGTGCTCGCGCAAAGAGTTAGAAGGAAAATGGAGACGTGGATTGCAAGACAACACTCTCAGAAATGGAGACGTATCTCCAGACATCTCCGTTAGGCACGGGAACTCAGTGTAGGGCTCCGTATGGTGGCCAGAATGCCTCGCAATATTAACAGAAATAATGTTGTGGAAACAAGTTACAAAAAAAAATTGTTCATACCAAAACAAAAACAGTTTTCTTATGGAACATGGCTTTCCACTAAATTGGTTGAAATTTTGTAGTGGTGATTTTCAACATGGCGATCAAAAGTTCCAATGAGATTCTCAGTAACCCCTGCCAACTTATTTATCTGAGTCCATACTTTTTTGAGAAAAAGCAGTGTTACTGTTACAGTAAGCGCAGATCGGTATTGTGTGATGCTAGAGACCTTTCTGCTTTCTGTGGCCCAGAGTGGCTGCTCTTGTCGATGAGCATGGACCAGAACATGTACGGTTCCAACAAGTCCATACAGCACGTCATTCAATGGCACTTTTACGAGAAACGTTTCCTAGACACGTTGTTTCTTTGCGCGGCGACATCGGGTGACCTCCGTACTCACCGGATTTGACCCCATGTGATTTTTTTCTTTGGGGCTGCGTGAAGGCAGAAGTGTACCGACATCGCCCCAAAGTCTAGAAAATTGTAGTTTATATCCAAATGTTTTATCTGTTAGCACATTGCTATGAAATAAAGATCATCATCGCTCGGGTTACCTATCCTATTTTCTGCTGGAATCCACTTTCCGTCTTTTTGCGGATTTTGTCCCTTATTTTCCTATTTTATATATATATAATATATATATATATATATATATATATATATATATATATATATATATATATATATATATATATATATATATATATATATATATATATATATATATATATATATATATATATATATATATATATATATATAGTGACATATAAATCCGAACACCCAGTTTAAATGGTTTTATTTTAATAAAATTTTGTATAAGTACTTAATGAAGCATAATAAGTAAATAATAAAAATTTCAAAATGATTGCACTGCTTTAAAGCCCTTTGACCTTTAATAGTGTGTGGATGCACCCTGATGTGCTCCGCATTCTCCAACGCGCCTAGGCATGCTTCTGATCAGGTGGTCAATGTCCTCCTGTGGTATCTCATTCCAGGCAACCACCAACTCCTCTCGAAGTGCTTCTAGAGTCTGAGGAGGACGTTGCAAATTGAGCAATCTCCTACCCATCATATCCCACACGTGCTCAATTGGGGATAAGTCGGGAGATCTTTGTGGCCATGGTAACAATGTGATATGTTGAAAGAAGTCTATTGTGACTCTTGCAACATGTGGTCGGGCATTATCTTGTTGGAAAGTTGGATCTGCCAGGGTGTCAAGATAGGGTAAAAGATGGGGTTCTAGAACTTGTGGATATAACGCTGCGCGTTCATGTTACCTCTGATGAAGATTAAACGTGACCTGGAACCATAAGCTATAGCACCCCAAACCATAACTCCAACAGTGTGATGAACATGTCTTTCAACAAAAAACTGTGGATTCCTCCTTTCACCACGTCGCCTTCTAACCCTGACACGACCATCGTGCATGCCTAAACAAAATCGAGACTCATCACAAAATACAATACTGTTCCATTCCTGATCCCAAAGTGACCGTTGTCTGCACCACTCAAGGCGATTACGTCGGTGTTCTCGAGTTAAAGGGAGGACCCAGTGTGGCCGGTATGAAAACAAGCCAAAACTTCTCATTCGTTGGAGATATGGTTTGGGGTGCTATAGCTTATGGTTCCAGGTCACCTTTAATCTTCATCAGAGGTAACATGAACGCGCAGCGTTATATCCACGAAGTTCTAGAACCCCATCTTTTACCCTATCTTGACACCCTGGCAGATCCAACTTTCCAACAAGATAATGCCGGCCACATGTTGCAAGAGTCACAATAGACTTCTTTCAACATAATGATGTCACATTGTTACCATGGCCACCAAGATCTCCCGACTTATCCCCAATTGAGCACGTGTGGGATATGATGGGTAGGAGATTGCTCAATTTGCAACGTCCTCCTCAGACTCTAGAAGCACTTCGAGAGGAGTTGGTGGTTGCCTGGAATGAGATACCACAGGAGGACATTGACCACCTGATCAGAAGTATGCCTAGGCGCGTTGGAGAATGCGTAGCACATCAGGGTGCATCCACGCATTATTAAAGGTCAAAGGGCTTTAAAGCAGCAATTTTTATCATTTACTTATTATGCTTCATTAAGTACTTATACAAAATTTTATTAAAATAAACCCATTTAAACTGGGTGTTCGGATTTATATGTCACTTAGTATATATATATATATATATATACTATATATATTATTTCCAGTAATCTGCGGTCCCGGCAACAACGGCGGCGACGGCCTGGTGTGCGCGCGCCATTTGAAGGTGTTGGGTTACAAGCCGGTGATTTACTATCCGGTACGCACCGAGAAGCAGCTCTACAACAGCCTGACCACTCAGTGCACGAACATGGCGGTGCCTTTCTTGCAAATGCTGCCCGAACCCGAACTGTCGACGGTCGAATGCACGTTCGCGCTGATCGTCGACGCCGTGTTCGGGTTCAGCAGCTTCAAACCGCCGGTGACGGAGGCGTTCGTCGCAAGCATCGATCTCATGAAGAAGGCTACGGTGCCTGTTGTCAGGTATGTGACGGCGATGAGGTTCCAATCCATAGACCACTCAAGTCACATGAGGAAAAATGTTGAGGAAACATAAAAAACATTTTTGATTTAAATTTTTTGTTGTCATTTGCATAATTTCTTAAATATATCAATCTGTAAGTAAACAAAATGAATGAGTTATGATGGAAAGATTAATGGACTTGACTGGTGTAACAAGTTTTTTGATTTATTAAGGGATAAAATTAAAATATACAACAAACTTTGACGTTAAAAATATTGTTTTGTTAAGTTTCTGAATGAAATAAACTTTAATGCAACTTTTGGTTCAAACTTAAAATATTTTCATTTATCTTCTTTGAATTCTGATGCGGAGGATTATTAAGTTTATCTGGTGAAAAGCTCTGATGGTATTTTCTGATTTCTTCATAGAACAACCGATCACACTGTGGCACATAGTTTTTAGCCAGAGTGATAACGTGATCAAGTTTTTTCTTCTTTCAGTATTCATCTTAATTGAGTGTTTGTAGAGTCAGAGGCTGCCCATTCCTGCGATCTTCGGATTTCAAAAATATTAAACTGTTACAGATAGACTGTTTCACTACATTTAAATAATATTTCATTACCTAGCTGTTCATAGCGCACGATTCGACATTTTGAAATCGTAAATTTATTGTTCTTCCTTGAAAGATTCGAGTACTCTTGCAGCAAATATATTTTGTCGTGATTTTACTGTGTAAAAACCAGTCAAGTCCAGGATTTGGGCTATTGCCTTTTTCAAGAGACTCCATAACCTTGTTCTTTTTTTGTTACAATGTTAATTTTGTATAATTGCTCGTTTACACGTTTTTTTATTCAATTTTCGGTAATTTTACATTTTTGTCTATTGGGTCTTTTGGGTATTTATAAAGTGATTTATTGATTTATCACGATCCATTTTTAATTGTTAACAACAATTTAAACGTCAAAACTCAGCTTCTTACCAATTTAAAATGTCATCATTTGTCATACAAAGCCTAGCATTATTTTATCGAAGACCATTAAACATGTATTTTGCTATACACAAATTATTTTGCAAAGAAGACAATTTATAAATATAAACGATTTTTAAAAATAGCCGCGTCGGTTTTGTTATCTTTCCATAAACATTTAAAGAAAACAAAAATATTATATTTGAAATAAAATTTTAATTAGCCGTCAAATAAATTCACAAATATCATGTTTTGTGGCGTTCGAACGACTTCACTGAGACAGCCGTCGTAGATATTTTTAGTAGCAATGGAAAATGTTCCTGTTTAACTTTAGTTTGTTAGATTTTGAATATAAGCAGATTGAGCATCGCACGAATCCTTTGCTCCTCTTCAATTTACGTAATTTGTTGCAGTATCGATCTCCCTTCGGGCTGGCACGTGGATAACGGCGAGCCCGAAGAGCGAAGCGGCCTACTTCCCGAAATGCTGATATCGCTGATGTGCCCGAAAAGGGGCGCGCTCGATTTCAGAGGAATCTACCACTATTTGGGAGGCAGATTCGTGCCGGCCGCGTTGGAGGAAAAGTTCGAGATGAACCTGCCGGAGTACCCGGGAACGGACTGCTGTGTCCTCATCAGCTGCGATTGCGAGGATGAGGAACATCAGAAAGAGCATTAGACCCGCAAAAATCGGGTTAGATTATTTGATGTTTTTAGGGAATCAAACCGAAATGTAGTAATCGGCGATTTGTCTAGCGGTATTTTTTAATAAATATAGTCGACTGTGTAGGATTATCTTGAACAGGAGAAGCATCAGTTTTTTATTGTTTCTAATTAATGTTGGCCGTGGAATATTTGATTTTTGTACTCTTTCACCTGTGTAAACATAGCCCTTCAAAAAATTATCACACAATCTACAGATATTTTTCTTTTGAAAAAAAAATACCTCTAGACGAATCACACAATATAAACCATAGCAGATGTATATTTAAGAAATCCAAAAGGCTGATACACTTAGTTCCACGAATCTCGTTTTTGTGTCTTGACTTGTGTAATTTCGTACAAAGTTACGTGCTCTTCATGCGGGGCGTTATCGGATCCATTTTAAGAAGAAAACTTTATATGAACCTAAACGTCTCAACTTTTGAGATACCTTCAGTTTTCAAAAATAAATATTTTATCATCTTCTGACAGAATTTTCTTGATCACTTTCAGACCCGCTGATTTCTGATATTTTTGCATGAGCAATTTTCCACTTCTGATAACGGATCGGCATATATTTTGTCAATTTGGTCAACTTTGGCTATCAATCACTTGTGTTTATTTACAAATGGAACATTCTTAACATATATAATAATAATAATATTTATTCACTCAATGTACAAAGATAACAAACAATGTGAGTAAATAAATATAAAATCAAAATAATAATATATAATATAATATCAATTTCATTATTTATTTCAAGGTTCCTCAAGGACAGAATCTGGATTATTGCATAAGGTACATGTAACCAGACTAGGATGTACAAGAAGGTTGATTAGAAGTACCAGAAGTATAAGAGAAGTATTAAATGAGGCATTGCAGCAATTGGACAGCACTGTAGTTACTTTTATCAAAAGCTAGATCACACTGGCTGGTAGTAAATCACAGGGACGCAGATATAGCGTAGAAGACAAATTGATGGGACTTATACTTCATAAACAAAGTGGTAGGGGATATCGAGCATTATCAAAAATATTTGCTTTGCCCTCAAAAAAAAAAAAAACAATAATGCAGCTATTAAACCAGATTCCCATCAATCCAGGTGTAAATGATGTGGTTTTTAAAGAAGGGAATACTTGCATTCAAGAGAGCCATTAAGAACCATCTTCTGGGGTCTGCTAGCCAAGCTAGCTGATATATTTCTTTTTTTTTTGTTAGAGCGGGCCATGTAGTATAGATGTATAACAGATTACTCTATTTAAGCCTTAATTATTGTATATATTAGATAGTCGATTGCTATTCATTGTAATATCTTTTTTTTTTGTATGTGTTTCAGCGCTGTGAGGTTAAGTGGTAGAGTAGCCAGCTGGATAAACTTCGCCTCGCAGTGTGGATGGATTTCTAAAGACATTATTATTATTATATTTAGCTTTGTGAGAAAAGGTGTTATAATTTGTATATGAATGATTGACCATAAAATGACTATAATTATTTCTTTAATTTTAATTCCTCCTTTCACATCCCCTGGAAAGATCTTCCACAAGCCATAAAATCGCTAAATGATGAGAAATTTAGAACACTGGTTAGGACATCTATTTTAGCAAAATATACCTAAAGTCGTTACGTTTACCTACCACCTCAAAGAAAAAAAAGCCATGTAGATTTTGCTCCTTTCAAATGTAAAATTGTTATTTATATTTTATACACAATATCCTTACACAACTTAATTTTGATCATATCATTCCAACTTATTTTAGGTTTAATATTTTGTATTTTTTTGTTGTTGTGACTACGTGGCAGAATAGCACTATGCTAAACCTCGCCCCTAGTAAAGACGATTTATAATTTTTTTTCAACGGTGGTTGCCTTGATGGAAATCCATTTTACGTAATAAAAACACTCAGAATGGTTTAATTTCTGCTATATTAGTCATTAATACGTGACGCGCAGCTCACGCCAGCATTGGAGAAAGACACTGTGTGTCGAAATGCGCGTCATGTATTAATAACTAAGAAAGTGGAAATTAACCCATTTGGAGTGTTTTTGTTACGTAAGACGATTTATTATTAACAGAATGTAAAAAGTCCCATCAGGTTTGTCCTATTAAGATGGAAAGGCCCATTATTCAGCACTGGTGTGAGACAATCCACCAGAGGTCGCAGAAATACGGTAACTTATTGGAGTTTCCCACCTCTAGAAGGGTTTATCTCTGGATTGCTTCGTTGCATTATTTTGTTTCCCACTGTATCCATATTATAAGTACTGTATTGTACGTATGTGCAGAAATACGAAACGGACTGTACCGGATAAAGTATTTTATTTTAACTTAAGTAACTATCAGTTTGCCCTATTATCAAAAATTTTCCAGGGCAGAGACCTTCTCACTCTATACAAGGCCCAGATAAGGCATAGCCTCGAGCATTGCTCACACGGTTGGGGTGCTGCCGTCCCGACTACATTATCCATGCTCGATGCTGTCCAGAGGAGGGCGGTCCGACTGATCGATGACTCTTCTCTAACAGGCAGTCTCGGGACTCTTTCGCACCGGAGGGCCGTCGGCGATCTAGCTCTTTTCTATCGCTACACCAACGGGCTTTGCTCCTCAGAGCTCTCTTCCATGATGCCGCCGTGCGATGGGCCTGCCAGACAGACCCGCCTGAGTTTGGCGACCCATCCTAACCGTGTCGAACTTCGTACATCCAGAACTGGCCGATACGACCGCTCCTTTGTCCCGAGGCAGTTCAAAAATCGTATTAACAAAATTTCTTTGGGATCATAGCAGCCGCGGTGTTCCGGCATTTAGGCTTCTGCTTCGATAAAAAAAAATCTAAAGATTACCTATTTATTAGCCACTTCAAATCAAGGTTTGATGATAATAATAATAATAAAAGAAAAATTTAAATACATAATACTTTATTGAAAAATTGCATTATCAATTCTCAGTGAATAATTTACAAATATTTTCTTTGGCCTGTTGCACTTCTTCCTCCAATCTACTGATTTCTTCACAAGTTTTGTCTGTGATCGACTCAAACAAACAATATTTTGCATTTAGTTCATCGATTTTTTTCATAAGATCATTGAGATTCTCAGTATTTGGATTGGGAAACTCAAATACTTTTTGGGACAACAGTGAATTTAGTTTGGAAAGTGCTTCCACAAGATTTAACGGCTCAGAATTTGATTCACCATGCTTCAGGGTTGGTATACCTCTATCGAGATATTCCAAAATGGACCGGATTTCCGGAAACAATGTTTTCGAAGCTTCCAATTCCTTCCACAGCTTTTTCAGCCCGTTACATTTCTCTTCTAATTGATGAGCGGTTAGCAATTCGCCTTGTTTGTTCGCAACCTCTCTTCTCTTCAACTCCAAAACGGGTGTCAGCTCCTTTATCTCGGCGTTTACTTTGTTCAGCTGCCGTTCGCATTCCGCAGCTTCCGCCTTCGCTTTTTCTTTCGATTCCTTGAACTGCTCGATCATCTTCCCAGTGTCAGCCAGCACTTGTCGTGTAGCTTTCCTCAAAATACTGAAAATACTGTGATGGCTTGCATCATCTGCAGGCTTCGGAGGGAGCAAGAGGTGCTCTACTCCGCTGCGCCTGAGGTGTTCAGCTATAACTAGCTGCGACAGTTTGAGCAGGAATTTCACGATACGGCCCCCGCCCGGAGATATGAAGTGCGAGGCGGGCAACTGCGGGATATCCCAATGGTGCTGCTCGTTCACTTCGCGGATGAATTGGTGGACTTCCTTGCGAAATTTTATCTCCGTTTCGGAGTCGAACACCGGCCAGGTGACGCGCTGTTTCGTTAATTCTGGGCTCAGGATGCGCAATAGGTAGTGGACGACTTCTTGGAAAGCAGCTTTGTTCACCTTCGAGAACATCTCTTTGCACAACAGGGATTTCAATTCTTCTGTGGCAGGGTAGAAATGCGTTAGCAGATCAACGTTTTCGTATATCATCTCGTGCCCATGCGTGTCCATTTCAGAAAATTGATTTATTTCGTTTATCAATCTCGTGAGATAATAGTGAAATTGTAACGGCAAATTCAAAATGGACAAAATGACACTAGTGACAGAAAAGTAGTGGTGAGTGGTGTGTAGTTCGCGAACGTACTAGTTCAGTCCAACAATTGTTATGAACTATGTGAACTAGTTCATCATTCCACGAAAATCTCTATTCACTTCAACACTTCAACGACTGGTGACTTGACTTGATGATGCCGCAGGGGTATTATAGAAAAAACTTGAAAAACGACAAAATGTCATCTTGCAGATTAGGTAGTTTTTAGTGAAATAGTTCGTTCCACGTGTGCTCGGTATAGTCTCTGTAGCCGTCATCAAAAGCGTTCATCTATGGAAGAATGGTTCAACGACATGCCACGCTCAAACATGCATTACTGGTTGCAGAAAACCAAGTAGTGTTCATCTCTGTGCTGTGATAGGAAGAAAGTTGATTGAGTAGCGAGATCGCATCTGGATGATTATGTGTATAGGTCTGCATATGTATAAATTATTCAGTGATATGTTAGAAAATGATGCCTAAAGTATGTCTGTTCGATATGCACGACGGGTTATTTATGTGTTGTCCTTTCTGAAGACAGGTTCAAAGTTATAAATTACGATTTTTGCAGGTTTTTTTGCATATCAAAAACTTTGAGAATTACGGGAATCACTCATTTCTAGCTTTGAATACATCTCAAGTAAGTGTATTTAAGACAGGAAACCAGTGTAATTATCATCAAGACAAATTATTTGTCAAAAAAACAACAAAATGGAAAGTGTTCCAAGATACGTAATATCCGTGCGGATGGAAGATTGAAAGGAGACGCTTTCACTTTCTTGTGTAAAGTAGTTCGTACGCGAACTAGTTCCTAGAACTAGTTAAATAGAATGCACATTACTACAGAAAAGCAAGTTGTTCTATGAGCTATGTTGTCCAGGCTTGTTGGGTTGCCGTTTGGAACCTAGGCCTTGTAAAAAAAATCAAGAGGTAGCCAAAGAACTTTCAACAAGCACTCTACATTGTTTTTGTTGAGAGAAATGCCAAGAATGTTCTCGCAAAGTTAGCTAGTAAGTTGTAATAGATTCTAGTACAATTGTAATAGTTCGCCCAACTCTAAAATACAAAGTTGACATGTATGACACACCAATTATTTGTGTTCTATGAGTGTTTCTCCTTCTCTTTGTGACGTTCCACAAATCAGTGTTCGGAAGTTATAAATCAAATTCAAGCGGGTAAACAAATGGAAATGGTATTTACCATTTTGGGTTGGTATTTACCAATCCGTTCAAGCGAGTGTAGTTATCAGTTTGGTTATAAGATCCGTGACGTCACGTATCAGCTGTCATAGTCATAGTTATCACCGCAAAATTGTGGTATTTACCCAACTCAAGAGTAGTTTTATATTTCTGGTTATTATTTGAAATGTGACAAGTTAGAATTTTGCCGGGTATTGGATATTGTTATTGTACTTTAGCTTCATTTTTGGGAAACTTGATTGAGCATGACTTCAGTTTTACCATAAAGTGGAGCACCTTATTAGTTATACTCATTACGGTTATTGGGGACACTTTAAATGTAGTTCCTATGCTTAACAAAGTATCCTGTGTAGCCATATACCACATGAATATTAAAATATGGCCATATAAACTCACTAGATGATATCCACCTGTATACGGTTTTGCTAATTTCTTTTCCATCATTTCTGCTGAATCAATAAATGTTTTCTTTGACATGCGGAAAAATTTAGAGAATTGTAAGTTATCATAGCTACAAAGCCATGGCTCCATCATTAAAAAAAAAATGTCTTTCTTTTGTACAAACTATAGGATAAGGATCAATAAAAAAATATATTTATATGCAGTTTGTATGTTTTATTTTTAATATGCTAGATTTCGATGAAATCTCGATTTCGCCTTGAGGCGATTATAAGTTACTCAGATATGCAGTGATGTGCAAGATACCATATACAAAGTACTTTTAATACTGTTAAAATAAGCACGAGCCCTGTCTCGGTGAAGTGGGCACAACTACCCAAACTAGGTGTTTTATGATTAGCGGAAACGTATTAAAAACTGAGGAAGAACTTGCAAAAAAGACAACATCGAAATAAAAACGCGTCTGTTTTGTTATATTTCCATAAAAGAAACCAAAAATATTATCATTTCACATACAATTTTAATTAGCCCTCAAATATATTCACAAATATCATGTTTTGGCGCGTTGGGCCAACTTCACTGAGACAGAGCTCGTATTTCAGATGCCAGATACAAGATACTTTATGGAATCATATCTGATACTAGGTACAAAATTACTTATCTTTTAAATACTTTACATTTTTCACATTCAAAAAAATTTGACAATTTTATCGGTAACCCACGAAGTGACTATAACACAAGAAATAGAAATATAAATCTTCTGTATCCAGTCCATCATCTCACGGTTACCGAAAAAAATGTCCATTACAGCTGCACTAAAATATGTATATAATAAGTTACCACAAGAAATTAAAAGGTTGGCAGATAGAAAAGAATATAAAAAGAGTATTTATTAACCCAGTTATGCCTGCAGCTCAAATAAATTATAATAAAGTATGTTCTCTGCAAATTCATTCTATATGAAGCATATATTAAACAGATTTATTATTTTTTAAATTTTATTTTAGGAAAAAGTGTAAAAAAATGCCATACAAAATATAGTACACTAGGCACATAGGCGAACATTAAGGTTTAGCATGGAAGGACAAAAAACATTTTACATGCATCCCTACATTGCACTTAGAGCACCTTGTTTTTGCTCTATCATGACATAAGCCACATCTAGTTGGATTTTCTTGTGGTATCACAAAATGATCTAAACGATCATAACGAATATCTATATATTCATTAGCCGAAGGACGTCCTCTAGAAAAAGATGGCGGTTTCTTGTTTTGTTGTAACAAGGCTGTGACAAGCCGCCGTCTAAATAATAATTGATCCATATGTCCTCCGTGCAATCTATAAAGTTGCCAGGAATTATGAACAGCCATATCAATACAGTGGCTGATCAATGAAAAATATCACTTTTTACGTCGGATGGAAATGCGATAAAGACCAATATTTTGATCACAACGATCAACGCCGCCCATATTTGCGTTGTATACATTTACAAGATGAGGTTGTTCTATCTAACATCACAAGCATTTTTGAAAACATTGATTTTCTTGCAGATTGTGTTTCTTATCTGAATACTTTTTTTTATCCTTTTGAGAGTATCGCTTTACAAAGCTAATCGGTTGCAATCCTGCGGCATTTGAACAGAGCGTTACTAAATTATTGTCATGCCATTTTACTGCAATTATGTTTGTATCGTAAATTTTTGTTGTAATCGTAACTAGCTCTTTTTTTCCTTTTCATAATTTTAGAATCTCTGAATTGGACGCCTTGTAAACGATTTTCTCTAGCAGTACCAGTCGCAAAGAAATTTTTTTCTGTCAATAATACCATAAGAGGGAGAGAAGTGAAAAAATTGTCGAAAACTAAATGAAATTTTTCATTTGGCCATTTTCTCCTCAGTGCATCAGAATGCTCTAATACCACACCAGCACCAACCCCCAAATCTGCATAATTCTTCCTAATGTTGGTTGACGACCCTTGGTAAGGTTCAACCCAGTAAACGTAGCCTATTGTTGATGGGCCAACCCATAATTTATAGCCGTATCGTACAGGTTTTCCGTGAATGAACTGTTTGCATGAGTGTCTCTCAAAATAAGGAACCATTGCCTCATCTACACCTATGCGTTTCTGTCAAAATCATAACGCGCTTCATTGATTGTCATCCCAACAATGATCAAAAATCTAACAAACACTGGCACAAAGATACTTTACAAGTTACCACGAAACTTCAAATAAGTTTAGACAGATTGTTTTTCAATAGCAATTCCAAAAAAGTTGCTTCCAAATTGCGACAGAGTTGTCTATCGACATTACGGTTTCTTAAAAATGACGAAAAAGGTACCCACTGCATCCTTATTCTTCCTAATATTCTCCTCAATCTCCTTCAAATGCTCCTCTGTGTCTCGGTCGATCTTGGCAGCGATGTCTTCTCTGGATCCCATGTGTTTAGCCTCGTACTCCCTGAACTGCTTCTCCCTCTCGGCTCTATATTGCTCTATCTCCGCAGTTGCTTCGTCTCTAGCCTGCTTGATTCTTCGTGCCTTACCTGAAATAATAATTATAAGCCCATTCAGCGGTATCTGCAACACTTACGGCTGACCTGCGTTCGAGGTTGAATATTACTACTAAACCAAAAAAGCGGCAACGCTAAATGCATAAAACTTGTACAGGGTGCGGCAGAGAGGACGGACGTTTTTGGGATGGGTAGTACTCTCCGCCTCCGTCTACGAGAGAGGTGGGGAGGGTGCCGTTTGACTCGTGAGATACTAGCATTATTTTACCAGTTGTCGTTATGGAGCCTCGGACGGTGGAGCACCGCGTTTTCGCCTATGATTGTTTCGTCCGAAATAATGAGTTAGTCATCGTCGTACAGCGTGAGTTTCGTCTCCACTTCAACATTCATCGGAATAGAGCTGTTCCCTCTCGAAACGCCATCCTTCGTTGGGTTTTATCACTTCGCAGGCGTGGTGAACTGATCAACAGAAGACCAAGAGGAGCGCCGCGAACAGTTCGAACTCCTGTAAATGTTGAACGCGTTCGACAGGTCTTTCTTCGCAGTCCGAGTCGATCTGCCCTGAAACATGCTGCTGCACTTCGCCTTAGTGATCGTTCGGTAAGGCGAATTTTGCATATGGATCTCCGCTTTCACCCCTACAAATTGGCCATTGTGCAACAGTTACAGCCCGGAGATTATGCACAACGAATGAACTTCGCACGTGAGATGGAAGCACTGATCGATCAAAATGAGAACCTCATGAGTGACGAAGCCCACTTTCACAAGACACAAGCCCCGAACTCTGGACGAATTGAAGGGCGAAATTCGCGTGGAAGTCGCCCAAGTTGAGAGAGCGATGTTGGAGAGACTCTACACGAACTTCCGAGAAAGCCTCCGGCACTGCAGCAACGATTTCGGCCACCACATGCCTGATGTGATTTTCCACACTTGACTGTCTCAAATGCTATTTCCTTGTGAACCTGATTCCATCAATAAATTTGTTTTCGAGTAAAAATTAACTATTTTATGATTTTTTTTAAAACCGTCCATCCTCTCTGCCGCACCCTGTATTTACTGGATGCAAAAAAGTCGTAGCTACAACTAGAAAGCTTGTTTTTTTTTCGTCTGAAAAACTTTGTCAATAAGTAAAGAAAATGCTCCCGATTCACTAAATATCAAAATATCGCAGATACCTCCTCGGTTTTTGAGATATAAAAATGTTTAATCCTTTCTTAAAGCGATATTTACGGTCAGGTGAGGCTTGGCAGGCATTTATTGGTGTTTGAATTTTCGACACCATGTGTGTGTGAAACCACCCCGCTCTGTATTTAAATATAGCACCCAATGTATTATTTTTGGCTGATATTTTTACAAGTACTATAACCACTTCCAGCTCACGGCTATTCGCATTTATATATATATATATATAGCGATATAGATGTTTCCGAGCGGTTGTTATGTATATATATATATATAATATTTTCGATAGGTGCAATCGAGAAACATAACAACCGCTCGGAAACATCTATATCGCTTATTGCATCGATTCTTTGTGAAAAAATCCGTCTTGTGATCTATTGCAGATTTTTAAGTAATCCAAATTTATACGGATTTTAAAAGATATTAACGTTCATCACATGCTCTAAACATCACTTAACTCGTCTCTTCCTGTTGTTAACGGATAAATTGCACTGGAGTGGGTAATGTCGTCGTCGTCGCATGACGCCTTTCATTGAATAAACTCATGATCTGCTTGCTTATAGTTTATCTTGCGTTTTAATAGTTACGTCGGCTGGATAGAACATTATTAATCGTAAAGTTCTAGCTGTTTTGATTAACTAAGCGATTATTTGTTAACTCACAATCATTCAGTGTTTTCGAATAATTTTTATATTGATGACTCGAAGTCATACGAATAAATAAAAAGCTCATAATATCCTCCGATAATTCCCCTGTTTTTTTAAATATAAGTACTTATAAAAATCTATTTTTGAATACCTGGAAAATATCGCGAAGACTGACCTTAATAGATACCACGCGAACACACGTTAATCAATTTCATCGACTTTCCTGCGTCCTAGATATTTCAAAAACTAAACCTAATTCCGTATTTCAAGTTGCTATAAGATGATTTTCAAGATGCTACAAAAAAAATAGTTAGGGGAAATCACTTCAACGAACCCTCTAGATGCAAAAATATGCTCCAAGCTTCAAGTATTCAAACAATGAATATTAATAAACTACCTGGCTTATAAAAATAAAACACGGGACGCAATCCAAAATGTACTCACGTTTTCGGGCCTCTGCCACTTTTTCAGCGGCCCTTTTCTCAGCGGCCAGCAATTGCTGGATGCCCTGCGTTTGATGACTAGCCATTCCGCAAAAACACCATCAAAATCGCACTTTTTGAACGACTGCAATTTTGAAATGGAACGCAGGAAGAGCAACATTTTCAATTGCTCTAAATTGCCGCTCGCATAAGTGGGATAGAGAATTTTATTATTAGAGATGCGATACTGGTTGCCTGCGCGTAATAGCGCCGAAAGGCAATATTGGAATTTTTTACCCGTTTATGTGTTTGGCATCTTCTTAGCAATCTTATAAATTGCAGCTAGAAGAATTTAATATACACTTAAATCGGATCATGGAATTTTTCGTGATTACGATACTACCTCGCCAGTTTTGGCACATAAAGTAGAAATTAAATAGACTCTTGATAGTTCAGAGAAACATTTTTTTACGCACGTAATCTGGCTTCTGCGACCCTTTCTGCAGCCCTTTTCTCGGCAGCGAGAAACTGTTGGATACCCTGAGTGTTGTGATGAACTCCTGATGAATGCCCGCTACTCGAACTGTCTGATGACGCCTTATTATGGGATTTCTCCTTCATAAGTTTCATCAACGTCTCGTTTGACAAGCGTTTACGAAAGTTTGAAGCTTGATCAGAGCTAAAATGGTTTGAAAAGAAAATTATATGAGATTCTTGACATTTAACATGTAAACTTCATTGCAATTAGATTGACAAATACACTTTTTCTCAAATATGCTGTGTCACTTTTATGCTGTATTCTGAAAGTTATTTTACCATGTTTGTCCCTCTGATTCATCGAAATTCTCGGTAAAATTCAAGTCTAATAAAGTAAATGGTAGACAATTGTTAACAATTTCCATGTGAATAAATAAAACAATACCAGGTTTAGTAAGAATAATAGTTTATAGTTTTTTATAAAAATATTGTCATTATATAAATTGAATAAAATAAAACCTCAAATTCCTTTTAAGCTAATCAAAATTATCAAAGTCCCAGTGTCCTAACCTGCATATAATATATCACACAGTATATCACATCTTGTTATATGAAAAGATCACAATATTGAATCAAAAAAATAGTCTACTGCTTGGTGGTTTAACTGGTCCCTACTTTCTCTGCATCTTCAATATTTCTTCTTGCAACCTTTCTTCTTCCTTTTTAATCCTATCAAGCTGTTCATTGATTTCTTTTAGCCTGATGTTCTCCTGGTGCTTCTTAGTCAAAGTGTTTAGCATTACATCATCATCTATCATTTCCTTGGCAGTATGCTTTTTCTCTTCTTCTTCCTTAGCCAACTTATCCACTTCTTGATTGTACTCCTGAATCTTCCTCATCATTTCAATTTTATCCTTTTCTATCTGTTTTTGCCTCTCCTTATTTCTAGCTACTTTTTCTTCAATTTGTGACTTTAATGTATCCATAACTTTCTTGAATAAATTTGCTCGTATCGTTTCCTCCATCTTCCAAACTTCCTGCTGTTTTTCATAAACTGCTTTAGCCTCAGAATCAAAAAGACACTTTAGATGCTCCTCGGTCCTCCTCTCCAAGTCTTGATGTTCCTTAGTCATTGCAAAATATTTATCAAAACTTTCTCGGACTTCCATCCTCTTTGTTTCACTATCTAACATTTCTTGCAATTCCAATTCTTTCAGTCTATTTATCAACATTACTTCATTTGCTAGACTCTCTTGAATCTCATGAGCTTTCTGCTTCAATTTCATCTTATGTTGTTTGACATTGTATAAGGCACATTCAATAGTTGCTCTCCTTATTTCTTCTTTCTTATATTCTTCCTCTAAATTAGCTAAGACAAGTTGGTGTTTGTTTTCTTCAATTTCCTCCATTTTCAGCTCTTTATATGCCTCTTCCTTTTCATGCAACTCTTTCATGTGCAGTTCTAAACATTCCTTTAATCTTTGTTTCCTTTCCTGTACAAATTTCTCGAAATTCTGTTCTTCTTCCTCATGTTTCCTGAATTTTTCTTCTTTCTCCTTCAGCAACTGCTTCATCTCTTCTTCTTCACGTTCTTTCTGCATTCGTTTCTCGATCTGCTGGTCTAACCAACTCAATTTTGAGTCTTTATGTTGATACTTGCTCTCATATTGTCTGATAATTGGATTATTTATTCTCCACTGATGGTATAACTGCAGTTCTGCTTCGTGTCTTTTGCGATCTTGCTCTCTTAATTTAAACTCGCTATTAACTTCTTTCAAAACTTCTGTAGGTATCGAATCAACTTTGCCAACAGGTGTTTTCGGTTTTGTCTTGTAAATCATCAATTCAATATCGTAAGTTTTACGGTCTTCCTCGTATAACCGTCTCAGTTTTTCTCTTCTCTTTTCCAACTGTTCTTCTTTCTCTCGTTTCTTCTTGATGTCTTCCATAAGCTTGTTGTTATCTTGATAGTAACGTGGGGAAGTCCAGCTATCCAATTTCGTGTTGGTTTGCTGCCAATGTTCGTAATATTTTTTCGCGTTGTTCCACATTTGATCGTGCTGAAATTCCCTTTCTCTTTTACGTACCATTTGATTTTCCATGCGCATTTTCATTTTTCCTTTAGCAGTTGGAACGTCCATAACAGGATGTTGCATTTTTAACAGTTGATGATCAAAAAAGATATAAAGCCGGCAGTGTTTGCTAATCAGGATATTTTTGTATTATAACGTAACGTACAAACAAAACTGTCCAAACTTCAAACTTTACAAATTCACAATGACACCTTTGACGTGTGACACTGGCAGATAATTGAATAAATACTACCCAGGAAATATATATAATCTGAGGCAACCAGCTATACTATGTATACCGTGTTATGTGTATATATGGTTGTCTACTAATTAATAGTATTCAGTTTGCCCTATTATCAAAAATTTTGCAGCCTCGAGTATTGCTCACACGGTTGGGGTGCTGCCGCCCCGACTACATTGTCCATGCTCGATGCTATCCAGAGGAGGGCGGTCCGACTGATCGATGACTCTTCTCTAACAGGCAGTCTCGGGACTCTTTCGCACCGGCGGGCCGTCGGCGATCTAGCTCTTTTCTATCGCTACACCAACGGGCTTTGCTCCTCAGAGCTCTCTTCCATGATGCCGCCGTGCGATGGGCCTGCCAGACAGACCCGCCTGAGTTTGGCGACCCATCCTAACCGTGTCGAACTTCGTACATCCAGAACTGGCCGATACGACCGCTCCTTTGTCCCGAGGCAGTTCAAAAATCATATTAACAAAATTTGTTTGGGATCATAGCAGCCGCGGTGTTCCGGCATTTAGGCTTCTGCTTCGATAAAAAAAAATCTAAAGATTACCTATTTATTAGCCACTTCAAATCTGTTTTCAAATCAAGGTTTGATGATAATAATAATAATAAAAGAAAAATTTAAATACATAATACTTTATTGAAAAATTGCATTATCAATTCTCAGTGAATAATTTACAAATATTTTCTTTGGCCTGTTGCACTTCTTCCTCCAATCTACTGATTTCTTCACAAGTTTTGTCTGTGATCGACTCAAACAAACAATATTTTGCATTTAGTTCATCGATTTTTTTCATAAGATCATTGAGATTCTCAGTATTTGGATTGGGAAACTCAAATACTTTTTGGGACAACAGTGAATTTAGTTTGGAAAGTGCTTCCACAAGATTTAACGGCTCAGAATTTGATTCACCATGCTTCAGGGTTGGTATACCTCTATCGAGATATTCCAAAATGGACCGGATTTCCGGAAACAATGTTTTCGAAGCTTCCAATTCCTTCCACAGCTTTTTCAGCCCGTTACATTTCTCTTCTAATTGATGAGCGGTTAGCAATTCGCCTTGTTTGTTCGCAACCTCTCTTCTCTTCAACTCCAAAACGGGTGTCAGCTCCTTTATCTCGGCATTTACTTTGTTCAGCTGCCGTTCGCATTCCGCAGCTTCCGCCTTCGCTTTTTCTTTCGATTCCTTGAACTGCTCGATCATCTTCCCAGTGTCAGCCAGCACTTGTCGTGTAGCTTTCCTCAAAATACTGAAAATACTGTGATGGCTTGCATCATCTGCAGGCTTCGGAGGGAGCAAGAGGTGCTCTACTCCGCTGCGCCTGAGGTGTTCAGCTATAACTAGCTGCGACAGTTTGAGCAGGAATTTCACGATACGGCCCCCGCCCGGAGATATGAAGTGCGAGGCGGGCAACTGCGGGATATCCCAATGGTGCTGCTCGTTCACTTCGCGGATGAATTGGTGGACTTCCTTGCGAAATTTTATCTCCGTTTCGGAGTCGAACACCGGCCAGGTGACGCGCTGTTTCGTTAATTCTGGGCTCAGGATGCGCAATAGGTAGTGGACGACTTCTTGGAAAGCAGCTTTGTTCACCTTCGAGAACATCTCTTTGCACAACAGGGATTTCAATTCTTCTGTGGCAGGGTAGAAATGCGTTAGCAGATCAACGTTTTCGTATATCATCTCGTGCCCGTGCGTGTCCATTTCAGAAAATTGATTTATTTCGTTTATTAATCTCGTGAGGTAATGGTGAAATTGTAACGGCAAATTCAAAATGGACAAAATGACACTAGTGACAGAAAAGTAGTGGTGAGTGGTGTGTAGTTCGCGAACGTACTAGTTCAGTCCAACAATTGTTATGAACTAAGTGAACTACTTCATCATTCCACGAAAATCTCTATTCACTTCGAACGACTGGTGACTTGACTTGATGATGCCGCAGGGGTATTATAGAAAAAAACTTGAAAAACGACAAAATGTCATCTTGCAGATTAGGTAGTTTTTAGTGAAATAGTTCGTTCCACGTGTGCTCGGTATAGTCTCTGTAGGCGTCATCAAAAGCGTTCATCTATGGAAGAATGATTCAACGACATGCCACGCTCAAACATGCATTACTGGTTGCAGAAAACCAAGTAGTGTTCATCTCTGAGCTGTGATAGGGAGAAAGTTGATTGAGTAGCGAGATCGCATCTGGATGATTATGTGTATAGGTCTGCATATGTATAAATTATTCAGTGATATGCTAGAAAATGATGCCAATAAAGTATGTCTGTTCGATATGCACGACGGGTTATTTATGTGTTGTCCTTTCTGAAGACAGGTTCAAAGTTATAAATTACGATTTTTGCCGGTTTATTTGCGTGTCAAAAACTTTGAGAATTACGGGAAATCAATCATTTCTAGCTTTGAATACATCTCAAATAAGTGTATTTAAGACAGGAAACCAGTGTAGTTATCATCAAGACAAATTATTTGTCAAAAAAACGACAAAATGGAAAGTGTTCCAAGATACGTAATATCCGTGCGGATGGAAGATTGTGAGGCGACGCTTTCACTTTCTTGTGTAAAGTAGTTCGTACGCGAACTAGTTCCTAGAACTAGTTAACTAGAATGCACATTACTACAGAAAAGCAAGTTGTTCTATGATCTATGTTGTCCAGGCTTGTTGGGTTGCCGTTTGGAATCTAGGCCTTGTAAAAAAAAATCAAGAGGTAGCCAAAGAACTTTCAACAAGCACTCTACATTGTTTTGGTTGAGAGAAATGCTAGAATCAAATTCAAGCGGATAACCAAATCGAAATGGTATTTACCATTTTGGGTTGGTATTTACCAATCCGTTCAAGCGAGTGTAGTTATCAGTTTGGTTATAAGATCCGTGACGTCACGAATCAGCTGTTATATGTCATAGTTATCACCGCAAAATTGTGGTATTTACCCAACTCAAGAGTAGTTTTATATTACTGGTTATTATTTGAAATGTGACAAGTTAGAATTTTGCCGGGTATTGAAATTGGATATTGTTATTGTACTTCAGCTTCATTTTTGAGAAAAATGATACAGGCTGACTTCAGTTTTACCATAAAGTGGAGCACCTTATTAGTTATACTCATTACGGTTGTTGGGGACAATTTAAATGTAGTTCCTATGCTTAACAAAGTATCCTGTGCAGCCATATACCACAAGAATATTAAAATATGGCCATATAAACTCACTAGATGATATCCACCTGTATACGGTTTTGCTAATTTCTTTTTTCATCATTTCTGCTGAATCAATAAATGTTTTCTTTGACATGCGGAAAAATTTAGAGAATTGAAAGTTATCATAGCTACAAAGCCATGGTTCCATCATTAAAAAAAAAATCTGAAAAAAACATTTCTCCCATGAATATTATGAAAGGTTTCTTATTTAAACTTTCCATATACAGTTGTAGACGAAAAAGCACCGATTATTAAGTGATAATAAAAATAATCAGAGATTATATACGCGCTTTTCTAAAATAAACAACTTGCAACAAAACCGCGGTTAAAACCAACGCGTTCAAGCGATTCGTGTAACCGACGTCATCAACCCGTGTGTCATCTTGAACCATATTATAACCGCGGCACATAACACAGAAATTTTGGTTATTCGCTTGGATTTGATTTAGGAATGTTCTCGCAAAGTTAGCTAGTAAGTCGTAATAGATTCTAGTACAATTGTAATAGTTCGCCCAACTCTAAAATACAAAGTTGACATGTATGACACACCAATTATTTGTGTTCTATGAGTGTTTCTCCTTCTCATTGTGACTTCTTGTTTGTTTATATGTTTTGTGGTTTTTGATTTCCAAATTTTTCTAAAAACATACACAGTAAGTAAGTTAAGAGCATTAATAAAAATTTTACAGTCAATCCATAGCATTTCTTACTTCAGCAAGGTAATATATTGTGTTACGGACTTATCCTATACGATAACAGAAATAGAATCACTTGAAAGCTGGGTTGACGAAATTCCGGCCATTTTGTATACTTCGGCTTTTTGTATCGGTTTTTCACGTTTGCCTTTTAGAGGATTGAGTTTTTTGTTTTTGACGAATTATTTTTTTTTAATTTTTTGTCTTGCCCGATGTCTCAGATCTCAGATGTTTTTCCAGCCCTAACCTGAAATTAAATTCGTAGCTGTTCCAAGGGACTTTGTTGAAGAATACAAAAAGATATTTCTCAACTCGCACCATGAGGTACATAGAACAGGAGGAAGCGACCAGGAGCTGTTCAACGATTACAGATTCTCTGTGGATCAGCTCATTGAACTGGCCGGGCTTAGCTGTGCTACAGCCATTGCAAAGACGTACTCAATGGAGAAAGTTGGAAACAAATCTATATTAGGTATACCTTCAATGCTATTTTGGTAATTTTCTAGCTTAGCTACACCAGCCTTTTTTATTGCTTCATCTGAATAGGCACTAGGTTTGGTTTGGAAAATATGGGTTAGCTGCAGAATAATAACGGTAATTCTCTAGCGACTAGCTACAACCATTTTTGATAACAAAATAATTTTGGAGCCATTTCTCTCACCTACACACCCAAAAACAGTTGTAGCTTACCATTATTTTTTATTAGAAGATACATTTTTATATTTAGGTTCTAATACAAAAATGATATACATTGAAATCTCCTTTGTACGGACACCAAATACAACAAAAATTGTGTTCTAATGAAAACTGAAATTAAGAAACTGGGACATTCAAAATGTAGATGTATATAAATGCCTTTAAAATAAACAAAAAATTTTAAACATCAGAAAAAAATGGATTGACACCTTTAGATATATACAAAGTATGTACATTAATGGACAAAAGTATATAGACAAATATGAATATTTACCTAAATACCTTTAGAAAACGAATACATGCTTCATTGCGTTATTAGTAGAAAAACTGAATTCGTTGTTTTTACATTATCTGCAATGAACACAATACAAATCTGAATATAAGCACTTTTTTGTGAGCTACAAAAATATGTAGACAAATTCTTTTCAACATTAGTTTCGTACAGTTTCATGTCACAAGAGGATTAGTTTGTGTTCACCAAGTATTCTGGAATAAGTTGAGTGATTTTAAGACCATGTCACGTGGTCCAGAAATTTCTTTCGATGTGAAAACTAAAATCATTGAGTTATACAAAGATGGTCAATGTCAAGTCGACATTGCCAAAAATTCGAAGCTGAAGCGTAACCAGTTTGGGCAATATTGAACAAATAGGTATCTTGGATGCCTCTAAGAGAAGTGGTCGGCCTAGAAAACTAAATGCTAGATCAGTTAGATTAAAAGTAATTTTGTCCTATGATCTGTTTAAAACCCCAAGACAAATAAAAGCCGAAATCGAGGCAAAAGGAATTGGCAGTGTTTCTACGAAATCTATGAGTAGATGTTTAAATGATTTGAAGTTATTTGCACGTCGCCCGAGTAAGAAGCCGCTAATATCGAGGAAAAACCGTAAAGACCGATTACAATTTGCATGGTTGCATCTTGATTGGAGCATCTGTGACTGGAAGAGGGTATGTTTCAGTGACAAATCCAAGTTCAATATGTTTGGATCAGATGGTGTTCATTATGTTAGACGTCATAGTGGACAAGGATTGAACCCCAAGTGCACTTTGCCCACTGTCAAACATGGAGGCAGCTCTGTTATGGTTTGGGGGTGCTTTTCAGGGTTTGGGATGCGACCTTTACATAGAATAGATCCCAGTATGGATAAGTTTGTATACACAGACATACGAAAGCATGTCATGTTACCCTATATGGAAGACAATATACCCTTAAGATCAATCTTCCAGCAAGATAATGACCCGAAGCACACTTCAAATCTCTCAAAGAAATTCTTTCTGGATGAAAAAATACCAGTTCTCAAATGGCCTTCACAGTCTGCCGATATAAACCCCATTGAAAATCTATGGGAATACTCAGATAAGCAATTACGAGATAAAAATTATTCAAACAAGGATGAACTTTTTGCCGCTTAAGAGCAAAAGTGGAGACAGAATGATGAATCTTCTACATTCTATGCTGAGTCGATGCCAGGCAGTGATTGATAATAATGGTTATGCTACAAAATATTAACACAAACATGGTTGGTTTTCTATAACTCAATGAACTTTGCTTCTTTTTTCTATAATTGTTTTGCTTTATCTATATATTTTTGTCCTTCATAGTTCCAGTTTTTTCAATTAATTTTTTATTGAAGGGAGTCTAATGAACTTATTTATGTATAAGCGAGTATTATGCTATAACGAATTTTATATACAGGTTGGTGTATTAATAAAACAAGTTAAAAAAGAAATACAGCACAATTTTAATTTGTCTATATACTTTTGTCCATTACTGCATGTGTATTCAAAACCTTCAACGTTGTTTTATATGCACAATGTGTGCATTCATGAATTCTAGAAGAAATGGACGCAAAAAACTCAGGATGTTCCTTGATTATATGATTATTTAGTCTATGTTTAAATTTAAATTTCGCATTACAGTGAATACATATGCTGAATTTACATACAGAGTCCAGATGTTTCAATGTGTGGCTTGCCGAATGATTCTTCATAGTCGTTTTATATTCACAATATTCACATTCAAAAATTCTAGAAGTAACAAATGCAATACAGTCAGGATGTTCCTTGATTATATGATTATCTAGCACCATTTTAGTTTTAAATTTTGCATTGCTGTGAATACATATGATTAATTTATAGTTACCTACTGACTCTGACTGTTTAAATAACATATGTCTAGCTAAACGAGACTTGATGGTTGTTGTGTAAGCGCAACGTGTGCAATGATGTAATTTACAAGACAAGGACGAAATAAAATCAGGGTGTTCCCTAATTATATGATCATACAGTGTACATTTCCTTTTGAATTTCGCATTACACTGAGTACATATGAATATGCCGAATTTATAGTTACTTGCTCTTGCTGTCTTAGAATGTTTCAGCATATGTCTCCTATAATTACCGTTATTGGTTGATTTATACGCGCAATGCGAACATTTATGAGTTTTACTAGAAACGGACTCGACAAGATCAGAATGTTGTTTAATGAAGTGATCATCTAGACTCCTTTTGGATCTGAACTTTGCATTACAGTGTATACACGTGTTATATTTATAGCTAGGACCGTGTTCATTTAAATTTCTATGTTCTTTCATATGCCTAACCAGAATATACTTATATCTAGCAGAATAATCACAAATATGACAATAAACTAAATTTCTGCTCAATTTTTTACAGGCTACAGGCCGCTGTTTCAACACACTGTAACAAAACAAACTATCATTATTTCAGACAATAATATTCAAGTTTTATGGAGTGACGGCGCTGGACCTAGAACTACGAGGGTGGTCCCAGAAGTACCCGGCCTGACCTAGAGATGGTGATAGTTGTTTGAAAAATATCATTGTCTTAGAAAGAAAGCATATGCGTCAAGTTTGAAGACACCACGTTGTTTAGTATTTGTTCTTATTATAGACAATAAATATTATAAAAAGTGTATCGAACTTATTGAACATCGCTGGGAAAATTCTATAGAGCTCAATGGAGAGATTATGTTGAAAAATAAATACATTTTTTTACAAATTTTTTGTGTTTTCTTCGTCGGGTCGGGTACTTCTGGGACCACCCTCGTACACTCTATTTTCCAGTCAGAAATCTTTGCGATTCTGGCTTGTGTATCTCGCATTCTGGAGGAGGCCGGGCCTAGGAGAAGAATAACAATCTTATCCGACAACCAGGCTGCTATGAAGGCACAAGTGCCTTGTATTGCAATGCAGGGAGGCTCTGGATCGTCTCGCAGCGAGGCATCCGGTATCGTTAATGTGGGTACCGGGGCACGCTGGGATAAGGGGCAAAGACACGGCGGACGCTCTGGCGAAGACAGGATCAGCCAGCAAGCTCGTTATTCCTGAGCCAGCTTTAGGAGTACTCGCGCAAAGAGTTAGAAGGAAAATGGAGACGTGGATTGCAAGACAACACTCTCAGAAATGGAGACGTATCTCCAGACATCTCCGTTAGGCACGGGAACTCAGTGTAGGGCTCCGTATGGTGGCCAGAATGCCTCGCAATATTAACAGAAATAATGTTGTGGAAACAAGTTACAAAAAAAAATTGTTCATACCAAAACAAAAACAGTTTTCTTATGGAACATGGCTTTCCACTAAATTGGTTGAAATTTTGTAGTGGTGATTTTCAACATGGCGATCAAAAGTTCCAATGAGATTCTCAGTAACCCCTGCCAACTTATTTATCTGAGTCCATACTTTTTTGAGAAAAAGCAGTGTTACTGTTACAGTAAGCGCAGATCGGTATTGTGTGATGCTAGAGACCTTTCTGCTTTCTGTGGCCCAGAGTGGCTGCTCTTGTCGATGAGCATGGACCAGAACATGTACGGTTCCAACAAGTCCATACAGCACGTCATTCAATGGCACTTTTACGAGAAACGTTTCCTAGACACGTTGTTTCTTTGCGCGGCGACATCGGGTGACCTCCGTACTCACCGGATTTGACCCCATGTGATTTTTTTCTTTGGGGCTGCGTGAAGGCAGAAGTGTACCGACATCGCCCCAAAGTCTAGAAAATTGTAGTTTATATCCAAATGTTTTCTCTGTTAGCACATTGCTATGAAATAAAGATCATCATCGCTCGGGTTACCTATCCTATTTTCTGCTGGAATCCACTTTCCTTCTTTTTGCGGATTTTGTCCCTTATTTTCCTATTTTATATATATAATATATATATATATATATATATATATATATATATATATATATATATATATATATATATAGTGACATATAAATCCGAACACCCAGTTTAAATGGTTTTATTTTAATAAAATTTTGTATAAGTACTTAATGAAGCATAATAAGTAAATAATAAAAATTTCAAAATGATTGCACTGCTTTAAAGCCCTTTGACCTTTAATAGTGTGTGGATGCACCCTGATGTGCTCCGCATTCTCCAACGCGCCTAGGCATGCTTCTGATCAGGTGGTCAATGTCCTCCTGTGGTATCTCATTCCAGGCAACCACCAACTCCTCTCGAAGTGCTTGTAGAGTCTGAGGAGGACGTTGCAAATTGAGCAATCTCCTACCCATCATATCCCACACGTGCTCAATTGGGGATAAGTCGGGAGATCTTTGTGGCCATGGTAACAATGTGATATGTTGAAAGAAGTCTATTGTGACTCTTGCAACATGTGGTCGGGCATTATCTTGTTGGAAAGTTGGATCTGCCAGGGTGTCAAGATAGGGTAAAAGATGGGGTTCTAGAACTTGTGGATATAACGCTGCGCGTTCATGTTACCTCTGATGAAGATTAAACGTGACCTGGAACCATAAGCTATAGCACCCCAAACCATAACTCCAACAGTGTGATGAACATGTCTTTCAACAAAAAACTGTGGATTCCTCCTTTCACCACGTCGCCTTCTAACCCTGACACGACCATCGTGCATGCCTAAACAAAATCGAGACTCATCACTAAATACAATACTGTTCCATTCCTGATCCCAAAGTGACCGTTGTCTGCACCACTCAAGGCGATTACGTCGGTGTTCTCGAGTTAAAGGGAGGACCCAGTGTGGCCGGTATGAAAACAAGCCAAAACTTCTCATTCGTTGGAGATATGGTTTGGGGTGCTATAGCTTATGGTTCCAGGTCACCTTTAATCTTCATCAGAGGTAACATGAACGCGCAGCGTTATATCCACGAAGTTCTAGAACCCCATCTTTTACCCTATCTTGACACCCTGGCAGATCCAACTTTCCAACAAGATAATGCCGGCCACATGTTGCAAGAGTCACAATAGACTTCTTTCAACATAATGATGTCACATTGTTACCATGGCCACCAAGATCTCCCGACTTATCCCCAATTGAGCACGTGTGGGATATGATGGGTAGGAGATTGCTCAATTTGCAACGTCCTCCTCAGACTCTAGAAGCACTTCGAGAGGAGTTGGTGGTTGCCTGGAATGAGATACCACAGGAGGACATTGACCACCTGATCAGAAGTATGCCTAGGCGCGTTGGAGAATGCGTAGCACATCAGGGTGCATCCACGCATTATTAAAGGTCAAAGGGCTTTAAAGCAGCAATTTTTATCATTTACTTATTATGCTTCATTAAGTACTTATACAAAATTTTATTAAAATAAAACCATTTAAACTGGGTGTTCGGATTTATATGTCACTTAGTATATATATATATATATACTATATATATTATTTCCAGTAATCTGCGGTCCCGGCAACAACGGCGGCGACGGCCTGGTGTGCGCGCGCCATTTGAAGGTGTTGGGTTACAAGCCGGTGATTTACTATCCGGTACGCACCGAGAAGCAGCTCTACAACAGCCTGACCACTCAGTGCACGAACATGGCGGTGCCTTTCTTGCAAATGCTGCCCGAACTGTCGACGGTCGAATGCACGTTCGCGCTGATCGTCGACGCCGTGTTCGGGTTCAGCAGCTTCAAACCGCCGGTGACGGAGGCGTTCGTCGCAAGGATCGATCTCATGAAGAAGGCTACGGTGCCTGTTGTCAGGTATGTGACGGCGATGAGGTTCCAATCCACAGACCACTCAAGTCACATGAGGAAAAATGTTGAGGAAACATAAAAAACATTTTTGATTTAAATTTTTTGTTGTCATTTGCATAATTTCTTAAATATATCAATCTGTAAGTAAACAAAATGAATGAGTTATGATGGAAAGATTAATGGACTTGACTGGTGTAACAAGTTTTTTGATTTATTAAGGGATAAAATTAAAATATACAACAAACTTTGACGTTAAAAATATTGTTTTGTTAAGTTTCTGAATGAAATAAACTTTAATGCAACTTTTGGTTCAAACTTAAAATATTTTCATTTATCTTCTTTGAATTCTGATGCGGAGGATTATTAAGTTTATCTGGTGAAAAGCTCTGATGGTATTTTCTGATTTCTTCATAGAACAACCGATCACACTGTGGCACATAGTTTTTAGCCAGAGTGATAACGTGATCAAGTTTTTTCTTCTTTCAGTATTCATCTTAATTGAGTGTTTTGTAGAGTCAGAGGCTGCCCATTCCTGCGATCTTCGGATTTCAAAAATATTAAACTGTTACAGATAGACTGTTTCACTACATTTAAATAATATTTCATTACCTAGCTGTTCATAGCGCACGATTCGACATTTTGAAATCGTAAATTTATTGTTCTTCCTTGAAAGATTCGAGTACTCTTGCAGCAAATATATTTTGTCGTGATTTTACTGTGTAAAAACCAGTCAAGTCCAGGATTTGGGCTATTGCCTTTTTCAAGAGACTCCATAACCTTGTTCTTTTTTTGTTACAATGTTAATTTTGTATAATTGCTCGTTTACACGTTTTTTTATTCAATTTTCGGTAATTTTACATTTTTGTCTATTGGGTCTTTTGGGTATTTATAAAGTGATTTATTGATTTATCACGAGCCATTTTTAATTGTTAACAACAATTTAAACGTCAAAACTCAGCTTCTTACCAATTTAAAATGTCATCATTTGTCATACAAAGCCTAGCATTATTTTATCGAAGACCATTAAACATGTATTTTGCTATACACAAATTATTTTGCAAAGAAGACAATTTATAAATATAAACGATTTTTAAAAATAGCCGCGTCGGTTTTGTTATCTTTCCATAAACATTTAAAGAAAACAAAAATATTATATTTGAAATAAAATTTTAATTAGCCGTCAAATAAATTCACAAATATCATGTTTTGTGGCGTTCGAACGACTTCACTGAGACAGCCGTCGTAGATATTTTTAGTAGCAATGGAAAATGTTCCTGTTTAACTTTAGTTTGTTAGATTTTGAATATAAGCAGATTGAGCATCGCACGAATCCTTTGCTCCTCTTCAATTTACGTAATTTGTTGCAGTATCGATCTCCCTTCGGGCTGGCACGTGGATAACGGCGAGCCCGAAGAGCGAAGCGGCCTACTTCCCGAAATGCTGATATCGCTGATGTGCCCGAAAAGGGGCGCGCTCGATTTCAGAGGAATCTACCACTATTTGGGAGGCAGATTCGTGCCGGCCGCGTTGGAGGAAAAGTTCGAGATGAACCTGCCGGAGTACCCGGGAACGGACTGCTGTGTCCTCATCAGCTGCGATTGCGAGGATGAGGAACATCAGAAAGAGCATTAGACCCGCAAAAATCGGGTTAGATTATTTGATGTTTTTAGGGAATCAAACCGAAATGTAGTAATCGGCGATTTGTCTAGCGGTATTTTTTAATAAATATAGTCGACTGTGTAGGATTATCTTGAACAGGAGAAGCATCAGTTTTTTATTGTTTCTAATTAATGTTGGCCGTGGAATATTTGATTTTTGTACTCTTTCACCTGTGTAAACATAGCCCTCCAAAAAATTATCACACAATCTACAGATATTTTTCTTTTGAAAAAAAAAATACCTCTAGACGAATCACACAATATAAACCATAGCAGATGTATATTTAAGAAATCCAAAAGGCTGATACACTTAGTTCCACGAATCTCGTTTTTGTGTCTTGACTTGTGTAATTTCGTACAAAGTTACGTGCTCTTCATGCGGGGCGTTATCGGATCCATTTTAAGAAGAAAACTTTATATGAACCTAAACGTCTCAACTTTTGAGATACCTTCAGTTTTCAAAAATAAATATTTTATCATCTTCTGACAGAATTTTCTTGATCACTTTCAGACCCGCTGATTTCTGATATTTTTGCATGAGCAATTTTCCACTTCTGATAACGGATCGGCATATATTTTGTCAATTTGGTCAACTTTGGCTATCAATCACTTGTGTTTATTTACAAATGGAACATTCTTAACATATATAATAATAATAATATTTATTCACTCAATGTACAAAGATAACAAACAATGTGAGTAAATAAATATAAAATCAAAATAATAATATATAATATAATATCAATTTCATTATTTATTTCAAGGTTCCTCAAGGACAGAATCTGGATTATTGCATAAGGTACATGTAACCAGACTAGGATGTACAAGAAGGTTGATTAGAAGTACCAGAAGTATAAGAGAAGTATTAAATGAGGCATTGCAGCAATTGGACAGCACTGTAGTTACTTTTATCAAAAGCTAGATCACACTGGCTGGTAGTAAATCACAGGGACGCAGATATAGCGTAGAAGACAAATTGATGGGACTTATACTTCATAAACAAAGTGGTAGGGGATATCGAGCATTATCAAAAATATTTGCTTTGCCCTCAAAAAAAGAAAAAAAACAATAATGCAGCTATTAAACCAGATTCCCATCAATCCAGGTGTAAATGATGTGGTTTTTAAAGAAGGGAATACTTGCATTCAAGAGAGCCATTAAGAACCATCTTCTGGGGTCTGCTAGCCAAGCTAGCTGATATGTTTCTTTTTTTTTTGTTAGAGCGGGCCATGTAGTATAGATGTATAACAGATTACTCTATTTAAGCCTTAATTATTGTATATATTAGATAGTCGATTGCTATTCATTGTTATATCTTTTTTTTTGTATGTGTTTCAGCGCTGTGAGGTTAAGTGGTAGAGTAGCCAGCTGGATAAACTTCGCCTCGCAGTGTGGATGGATTTCTAAAGACATTTTATTATTATTATATTTAGCTTTGTGAGAAAAGGTGTTATAATTTGTATATGAATGATTGACCATAAAATGACTATAATTATTTCTTTAATTTTAATTCCTCCCTTCACATCCCCTGGAAAGATCTTCCACAAGCCATAAAATCGCTAAATGATGAGAAATTTAGAACACTGGTTAGGACATCTATTTTAGCAAAATATACCTAAAGTCGTTACGTTTACCTACCACCTCAAAAAAAAAATGCCATGTAGATTTTGCTCCTTTCAAATGTAAAATTGTTATTTATATTTTATACACAATATCCTTACACAACTTAATTTTGATCATATCATTCCAACTTATTTTAGGTTTAATATTTTGTATTTTTTTGTTGTTGTGACTACGTGGCAGAATAGCACTATGCTAAACCTCGCCCCTAGTAAAGACGATTTATAATTATTTTTCAACGGTGGTTGCCTTTACTTGATGGAAATCCATTTTACGTAATAAAAACACTCCGAATGGTTTAATTTCTGCTATATTAGTCATTAATACGTGACGCGCAACTCACGCCAGCATTGGAGAAAGACACTGTGTGTCGAAATGCGCGTCATGTATTAATAACTAAGAAAGTGGAAATTAACCCATTTGGAGTGTTTTTGTTACGTAAGACGATTTATTATTAACAGAATGTAAAAAGCCCCATCAGGTTTGTCCTATTAAGATGGAAAGGCCCATTATTCAGCACTGGTGTGAGACAATCCACCAGAGGTCGCAGAAATACGGTAACTTATTGGAGTTTCCCACCTCTAGAAGGGTTTATCTCTGGATTGCTTCGTTGCATTATTTTGTTTCCCACTGTATCCATATTATAAGTACTGTATTGTACGTATGTGCAGAAATACGAAACGGACTGTACCGGATAAAGTATTTTATTTTAACTTGAGTAACTATCAGTTTGCCCTATTATCAAAAATTTTCCAGGGCAGAGACCTTCTCACTCTATACAAGGCCCAGATAAGGCCTAGCCTCGAGTATTGCTCACACGGTTGGGGTGCTGCCGTCCCGACTACATTATCCATGCTCGATGCTGTCCAGAGGAGGGCGGTCCGACTGATCGATGACTCTTCTCTAACAGGCAGTCTCGGGACTCTTTCGCACCGGCGGGCCGTCGGCGATCTAGCTCTTTTCTATCGCTACACCAACGGGCTTTGCTCCTCAGAGCTCTCTTCCATGATGCCGCCGTGCGATGGGCCTGCCAGACAGACCCGCCTGAGTTTGGCGACCCATCCTAACCGTGTCGAACTTCGTACATCCAGAACTGGCCGATACGACCGCTCCTTTGTCCCGAGGCAGTTCAAAAATCATATTAACAAAATTTGTTTGGGATCATAGCAGCCGCGGTGTTCCGGCATTTAGGCTTCTGCTTCAATAAAAAAAAATCTAAAGATTACCTATTTATTAGCCACTTCAAATCTGTTTTCAAATCAAGGTTTGATGATAATAATAATAATAAAAGAAAAATTTAAATACATAATACTTTATCGAAAAATTGCATTATCAATTCTCAGTGAATAATTTACAAATATTTTCTTTGGCCTGTTGCACTTCTTCCTCCAATCTACTGATTTCTTCACAAGTTTTGTCTGTGATCGACTCAAACAAACAATATTTTGCATTTAGTTCATCGATTTTTTTCATAAGATCATTGAGATTCTCAGTATTTGGATTGGGAAACTCAAATACTTTTTGGGACAACAGTGAATTTAGTTTGGAAAGTGCTTCCACAAGATTTAACGGCTCAGAATTTGATTCACCATGCTTCAGGGTTGGTATACCTCTATCGAGATTGTTGTGAATAAGTATACCAAAAGTTTACTGTAGCTGTTATATATTTAAAATTGGTCAAAGTAGCGACATCTAGTGTCATATGTCGTTACTACTGTGTTTGTCCACTATGTGCATGTCACTCTGTAATATCAGAGTAGTTGCAATATACCATCATAAGCGTGAACAAGTGTTTTCTTTCATCTCGCTAATCTCGCTTTAAGTTGCGTTTAAGTTCGGGTTGAACTGTGAAAAGTGTGTAAACTCTGTTAAAAAACATCAGGTTATGGGCCCAGACCCACAGTAGGACACCCAGCAGCGAAACTTTAGTGAATCGAGACGTTGAAAGAAACTGTCGTGACGCAAGTGTTTCTCACAGAACAAATATGGCCGTCAACTACCTGACGAGTGTGCCAAGGCTTTTAGGCCGTGAGAATTATGATGAATGGGCGTTTGCCGTCGAGAATGTGTTTGTGCTAGAGGGCTTAAACAAATGCATCGAAGGTACCGAGACCGACACAACGACCCTAGCAAAAGCAAAGGCCAAGCTAGTATTAACCATCGATCCATCTTTGTTCCCGCATGTCAAAGATTTAACGACTGCACAAGAAGTATGGACCAGTCTCAAACGTTTATATGATGACAGTGGTTTCATGCGAAAGATTGGACTTTTACGTACACTCATATCGGCAAGATTAGAGAATCATGATAGTATGGAGTCGTACATAAACCAGATTGTTGAGACTTCCCAAAAGTTACGCAGAACAGGTTTCAAAATAGACGAGGAGTGGGTAGGATCATTGCTGCTGGCCGGTCTTCCAGACAAGTACGCACCAATGATCATGGCCGTCGAGCACTCAGGAATCTGCATAACCACAGATTCAATAAAGACCAAGTTATTGGATATGCAGACAGATGGCGCTAGTGGTAATGGAAATGCAGGTGCATTCTCCGCCAAGAAACCGAGTTTTCGGAAACAGTCGCGAGGTGGCGCTAGTAGGACGAATTTCAAAGGAAAATCAGCTGGTGCTAGCCAAGCGGGAATGAAAACAAACACAGATGATTTCGGGGTTCAATCGAGGTCAAGTTCAAACAGTGGTTTTGGAAATGGACATAATAAAAAGGATCTGAGTAATATTGTGTGTTACAAGTGCAAAAAGACAGGACATTTTATGTCAAAATGCCCTAACAATAACAGACTTGAAGGAGGATTTAGTGCCGTGTTTACAACAGGTGATTTTAAGGTCACAGATTGGTATGTTGATAGTGGTGCCAGCAAGCATTTAACTGCCAATAGCCAGTGGTTAAAAAACAGGAGAAAGCCTGACTTACCTGATATTGTAATGGCTAACAAATCGAAAGTTGTTGTGGAATGTGCAGGTGATGTTGAGATCAAAACAATGACCAATGAACAGCACAAGATTTTACTAGAAGGTGTACAGTATATTCCTGGTTTAACAACTAACTTATTATCAGTAGGCCAGTTAATCAATAATGGAAATAGAGTAAGTTTTCATGAAGAGGGATGCAATATTTACAATAAAGTTGGTGTATCAGTAGCTACTGCTAGTCTACATAACAACGTTTACAAGTTGAACGTTTGTGAGGAGCCAGTGTGTTTTCAAGCTGTAAGTAGCAATTTATGGCATCAACGTTTAGGTCACATTAATGACAGCTACCTGAATAAGACAGCCAAGTTGGTTGATGGTCTTATCTGTAATGGTACAAGCATTGGGAGTTGTGAGGTATGCTGTAGGGGCAAGCAAGCCCGTTTACCTTTTCCCAAAGAAGGCAGTCGAGCACAGCAACTGCTAGAGGTCATTCATAGCGACATTTGTGGTCCTATGGAAACAACATCTATTGGTGGAGCTAAATATTTCCTGACATTTATAGATGATTACAGCAGAATGTGCTTTATATATTTCCTGAAGACAAAAGATGAAACTTTTGATAAGTTTAAGCAATTTAAATCATTAGTTGAGAATCAACAGAATGTTAAGATTAAGATTTTGCGAAGCGATAATGGTGGGGAATTCTGTAATAGAGAAATGGATAGTTTTTTAAAGAATTCAGGCATCATACACCAGACTTCGAGCAGTCACACTCCGCAGCAAAATGGGATGGCTGAGAGGTTCAACCGGACCATTGTGGAGAAGGCTAAGTGTCTTTTATTTGATGAGAGCTTGACCAAGGCATTATGGGCGGAAGCGTGTAATACTGCTTGTTACCTGAAAAACCGTTCAGCATGTTCAAAGCTTTCAATGACACCATATGAGATTTGGACAGGTAAGAAACCAAATCTTAGTCATCTTAGGGTATATGGGAGTACCGCCATGGTTCATGTTCCGAAGGTCAGTAGGAACAAGTGGGACGAGAAGTCAGTGAAGCATGTGCTTGTTGGGTACGATGAAACTACCAAAGGATATAGGTGTTTTAACCCCAGAACAAGGAAAGTCATAGTAAGCCGTGATGTAACAATCATAGAGAAACCAAGTTTGGAAATTCCAAGTACAGTGTTGCCGGATAGTGTTCCAGATAAGCAAAGGGAAGTTCCAGATTCAGTGGGAGAGCAGAATCCCATGTATTCAGATGATGAATCTTCTGAAGATGATGTATACTTCTCGGATGATGATGAATATGTGCCTGAAGGTCAGTGCCATGACTTGTTTGATAATGGTGAACAAGTAACTCCAAGAAGATCCCAAAGACAGATCAAGAAGAAGAATTTTCAAGATTTTGTGACATATTTTGGAGGTGTTAACAGCAAGGGTGAAGTCTATGACTCGAGTATCCCTACATCAGTGACTGAGGCTCTTTCAAGGCCAGATGGGCAGAAGTGGAAAGAAGCTATGTCAGAAGAAATACAGTCATTTATCGATAATGACACTTGGGAATTAGTAGATCCGCCAGAAGTTGGTACAGTGGTGCAGTGCAAGTGGGTATATAAAGTGAAGAGTGATAATGAAAGCCATAACCGGTATAGAGCTAGGCTTGTGGCTAAAGGTTTCACACAGAGAGAGGGTGTGGACTATGTTGAAACCTTCGCCCCAGTGGTAAGGCACTCAACTTTTCGTTTATTGCTTGCTTTGTCTGTTAGGCTAGATCTAAAAATTTTACACTTGGATGTGAAAACAGCTTTCTTGAATGGTATTCTGAAAGAAAATGTATTTATGCAGCAACCTGAAGGTTTTGTCATTAAAGATAAAGAAAATAAAGTGTATAGATTGAAGAAAGCAGTTTATGGATTAAAACAATCTAGTCGTGCTTGGAACGAAAAAGTCGACCAAGTTTTGTCAAAAATTGGTTATTCTAAGTCCAAATATGAGCCTTGTTTGTACATTAAAAGGAATAACAGTAATTTGTTAACCATTGTTGCTCTCTATGTTGACGATTTTTTCTGTTTTTCGTCTGATGACAATGAAATGAAGTTTCTTGAAGGTCATTTAAACTCAAAGTTTAAAATTAAGAATTTAGGAGAGGCAAAACAATGTTTAGGTATAAGAATCACTAGGGATTATTCGAAAAATTGTTTGTCAATTGATCAAGAATTGTATATTAATGAACTTTTATGTCGTTTTGGTATGTCAGATAGCAAAGTAGTAAGTACTCCGCTTGACAGTAGTATCAACTTGAGCGATATCAGTGGTGAAATTTGTGATCCAAAAGTTCCATATCAAGAGCTTATTGGAAGTTTAATGTACCTTTCGGTAATGACCAGACCTGATATTTCTCATGCTGTGAGCTTATTAAGTCAGTATAATAACTCATACACTAAAGTTCATTGGCAATCTGCAAAGCGTTTACTTCGTTATTTAAAGGGTACAAAGAGCTTGTCTATGAAATTTTTTAAGGATAATTTAAATTTGACAGGTTTTGCAGATGCAGATTGGGGGTCCAATAAGCAAGACAGAAAGTCATTTACTGGTTATGTATTTAAATATTCAGGGGGTTCAGTTTCATGGAAAAGCTGTAAACAACGTACTGTTGCTTTGTCGACAACTGAGGCAGAGTATATGGCTCTAAGCGAGGCAGCAAAAGAGGCCATATATCTGAGGAATTTGTTGAGCGAGTTAACTGGAAAATTGGATTGTATTGAGATTCATAATGATAATCAAAGTGCTCAGAAGCTTGCTAGCAATCCAATGTTCCATGATAGGTCAAAGCACATAGATATAAGGTACCATTTCTTGCGAGATATTGTGTTAGAAGGTAAAGTGAAATTAATGTATACACCTACTAACGAAATGGTTGCAGATGTTTTAACGAAACCATTACAAAATGTTAAGAATTCAAAGTTTGTAAAGGGTTTAGGTTTAAGTTAAGTTGTGCATGACAGATATTTTAAAAGGTTTTAGAGAACCATTAGTAAACTTTTGTTAAGTGGGAGTGTTGTGAATAAGTATACCAAAAGTTTACTGTAGCTGTTATATATTTAAAATTGGTCAAAGTAGCGACATCTAGTGTCATATGTCGTTACTACTGTGTTTGTCCACTATGTGCATGTCACTCTGTAATGTCAGAGTAGTTGCAATATACCATCATAAGCGTGAACAAGTGTTTTCTTTCATCTCGCTAATCTCGCTTTAAGTTGCGTTTAAGTTCGGGTTGAACTGTGAAAAGTGTGTAAACTCTGTTAAAAAACATCAGAGATATTCCAAAATGGACAGGATTTCCGGAAACAATGTTTTCGAAGCTTCCAATTCCTTCCACAGCTTTTTCAGCCCGTTACATTTCTCTTCTAATTGATGAGCGGTTAGCAATTCGCCTTGTTTGTTCGCAGCCTCTCTTCTCTTCAACTCCAAAACGGGTGTCAGCTCCTTTATCTCGGCGTTTACTTTGTTCAGCTGCCGTTCGCATTCCGCAGCTTCCGCCTTCGCTTTTTCTTTCGATTCCTTGAACTGCTCGATCATCTTCCCAGTGTCAGCCAGCACTTGTCGTGTAGCTTTCCTCAAAATACTGAAAATACTGTGATGGCTTGCATCATCTGCAGGCTTCGGAGGGAGCAAGAGGTGCTCTACTCCGCTGCGCCTGAGGTGTTCAGCTATAACTAGCTGCGACAGTTTGAGCAGGAATTTCACGATACGGCCCCCGCCCGGAGATATGAAGTGCGAGGCGGGCAACTGCGGGATATCCCAATGGTGCTGCTCGTTCACTTCGCGGATGAATTGGTGGACTTCCTTGCGAAATTTTATCTCCGTTTCGGAGTCGAACACCGGCCAGGTGACGCGCTGTTTCGTTAATTCTGGGCTCAGGATGCGCAATAGGTAGTGGACGACTTCTTGGAAAGCAGCTTTGTTCACCTTCGAGAACATCTCTTTGCACAACAGGGATTTCAATTCTTCTGTGGCAGGGTAGAAATGCGTTAGCAGATCAACGTTTTCGTATATCATCTCGTGCCCGTGCGTGTCCATTTCAGAAAATTGATTTATTTCGTTTATCAATCTCGTGAGGTAATAGTGAAATTGTAACGGCAAATTCAAAATGGACAAAATGACACTAGTGACAGAAAAGTAGTGGTGAGTGGTGTGTAGTTCGCGAACGTACTAGTTCAGTCCAACAATTGTTATGAACTAAGTGAACTACTTCATCATTCCACGAAAATCTCTATTCACTTCGAACGACTGGTGACTTGACTTGATGATGCCGCAGGGGTATTATAGAAAAAAACTTGAAAAACGACAAAATGTCATCTTGCAGATTAGGTAGTTTTTAGTGAAATAGTTCGTTCCACGTGTGCTCGGTATAGTCTCTGTAGGCGTCATCAAAAGCGTTCATCTATGGAAGAATGATTCAACGACATGCCACGCTCAAACATGCATTACTGGTTGCAGAAAACCAAGTAGTGTTCATCTCTGAGCTGTGATAGGGAGAAAGTTGATTGAGTAGCGAGATCGCATCTGGATGATTATGTGTATAGGTCTGCATATGTATAAATTATTCAGTGATATGCTAGAAAATGATGCCAATAAAGTATGTCTGTTCGATATGCACGACGGGTTATTTATGTGTTGTCCTTTCTGAAGACAGGTTCAAAGTTATAAATTACGATTTTTGCCGGTTTATTTGCGTGTCAAAAACTTTGAGAATTACGGGAAATCAATCATTTCTAGCTTTGAATACATCTCAAATAAGTGTATTTAAGACAGGAAACCAGTGTAGTTATCATCAAGACAAATTATTTGTCAAAAAAACGACAAAATGGAAAGTGTTCCAAGATACGTAATATCCGTGCGGATGGAAGATTGTGAGGCGACGCTTTCACTTTCTTGTGTAAAGTAGTTCGTACGCGAACTAGTTCCTAGAACTAGTTAACTAGAATGCACATTACTACAGAAAAGCAAGTTGTTCTATGATCTATGTTGTCCAGGCTTGTTGGGTTGCCGTTTGGAATCTAGGCCTTGTAAAAAAAAATCAAGAGGTAGCCAAAGAACTTTCAACAAGCACTCTACATTGTTTTGGTTGAGAGAAATGCCAAGAATGTTCTCGCAAAGTTAGCTAGTAAGTCGTAATAGATTCTAGTACAATTGTAATAGTTCGCCCAACTCTAAAATACAAAGTTGACATGTATGACACACCAATTATTTGTGTTCTATGAGTGTTTCTCCTTCTCATTGTGACTTCTTGTTTGTTTATATGTTTTGTGGTTTTTGATTTCCAAATTTTTCTAAAAACATACACAGTAAGTAAGTTAAGAGCATTAATGAAAATTTTACAGTCAATCCATAGCATTTCTTACTTCAGCAAGGTAATATATTGTGTTACGGACTTATCCTATACGATAACAGAAATAGAATCACTTGAAGCAGGGTTGACGAAATTCCGGCCATTTTGTATACTTCGGCTTTTTGTATGGGTTTTTCACGTTTGCTTTTTCTTTTGGAGGATTGAGTTTTTTGTTTTTGACGAATTATTTTTTTTTATTTTTTGTCTTGCCCGATGTCTCAGATATTTGTCCAGCCCTAACCAGAAATTAAATTCGTAGCTGTTCCAAGGGACTTTGTTGAAGAATACAAAAAGATATTTGTCAACTCGCACCATGAGGTACATAGAACAGGAGGAAGCGATCAGCATCGACCAGGAGCTGTTCAACGATTACAGATTCTCTGTGGATCAGCTCATGGAACTGGCCGGGCTTAGCTGTGCTACAGCCATTGCAAAGACGTACTCAATGGAGAAAGTTGGAAACAAATCTATATTAGGTATACCTTCAATGCTATTTTGGTAATTTTCTAGCTTAGCTACACCAGCGTTTTTATTTCTTCATCTGAATAGGCACTAAGTTTGGTTTGGAAAATATGGGTTAGCTGCAGAATAATAATGGTAATTCTCTAGCAACTAGCTACAACCATTTTTGATAACAAAATAATTTTGGATCCATTTCTCTCATCTACACACCCAAAAACAGTTGTAGCTTACCATTATTTTTTATTAGAAGATACATTTTTATATTTAGGTTCTAATACAAAAATGATATACATTGAAATCTCCTTTGTATGGACACCAAATACAACAAAAATTGTGTTCTAATGAAAACTGAAATTAAGAAACTGGGACATTCAAAACGTAGATGTATATAAATGCCTTTAAAATAAACAAAAAATTTTAAACATCACAAAAAATGGATTGACACCTTTAGATATATACAAAGTATGTACATTAATGGACAAAAGTATATAGACAAATATGAATATTTACCTAAATACCTTTAGAAAACGAATACATGCTTCATTGCGTTATTAGTAGAAAAACTGAATTCCTTGTTTTTACATTATCTGCAATGAACACAATACAAATCTGAATATAAGCACTTTTTACAAAAATATGTAGACAAATTCTTTTCAACATTAGTTTCGTACAGTTTCATGTCAGAAGAGGATTAGTTTGTGTTCATCAAGTATTCTGGAATAAGTTGAGTGATTTTAAGACCATGTTGGGTGGTCCAGAAATTTTTTTCGATGTGATAACTAAAATCATTGAGTTATACAAAGATGGTCAATGTCAAGTCGACATTGCCTAAAATTTGAAGTTGAAGCGTAAGCAGTTTGGGCAATATTGAACAAATAGGTATCTTAGAAGCCTCTAAGAGAAAATGGCGGCCTAGAAAACTAAATGCTAGATCAGTTAGATTAAAAGTAATTTTGTCCTAAGATCCGTTTAAAACCCCAAGACAAACAAAAGCCGAAATCGAGGCAAAAGGAATTGGCAGTGCTTCTACGAAATCTATGAGCAGATGATTAAATGATTTGAAGTTATTTGCACGTCGCCCGAGTAAGAAGCTGCTAATCTCGAGGAAAAACCATAAGGACCGATTACAATTTGCACGGTTGCATCTTGATTGGAGCATCTGTGACTGAAAGAGGGTATGTTTCAGTGACAAATCCAAGTTCAATATGTTTGGATCAGATGGTGTTCATTATGTTAGACGTCATAGTGGACAAGGATTGCACCCCAAGTGCACTTTGCCCACTGTCAAACGTGGAGGCGGGTCTGTTATGGTTTAGGGGTGCTTTTCAGAGTTTGGGATGCGACCTTTACATAGAATAGATCCCATTATGGATAAGTTTGTATACACAGACATACGAAAGCATGTCATGTTACCCTATATGGAAGACAATATGCCCTTAAGATCAATCTTCCAGCAAGATAATGACCCGAAGCACACTTCAAATCTCTCAAAGAAATTCTTTCTGGATGAAAAAATAGCCAGTTCTCAAATGGCCTTCACAGTCTGCCGATATAAACCCCATTGAAAATCTATGGGAATACTTAGATAAGCAAATACGAGATAAAAATTATTCAAACAAGGATGAACTTTTTGCCACTTTAGAGCAAAAGTGGAGACAGAATGATGAATCTTCTACATTCTATGCTGAGTCGATGCCAGGCGGTGATTGATAATAATGGTTATTCTACAAAATATTAATACAAACATGGTTGGTTTTCTATAATTCAATGAACTTTGCTTCTTTTTTCTATAATTGTTTTGTTTTGTCTATATATTTTTGTCCTTCATAGTTCCAGTTTTTTTCAATTAATTTTTTATTGAAGGGAGTCTAATGAACTTATTTATGTATAAGCGAGTATTATGCTATAACGAGTTATATATACAGGTTGGTGTATTAATAAAACAAGTTAAAAAAGAAATACAGCACAATTTTAATTTGTCTATATACTTTTGTCCATTACTGTATGTGTATTCACTTCAGGCCTGATGAAGCCATCCAGCAGAAATACGTATCGTATATATATATATACATATAAATGGTTAAACAATAATAGTTTAAGTGTGAATGTAAATAAAACTAAATGTATGATATTGAAATCTAAGCATAATGTAATTAACACATACAATAACAAAGGTATAGTAATTAATGGTAGTAGACTAGATCAAGTTGATGAATGTAAATATTGAGTGTCTGGGCTAAATTAATTATGTATAAGACGATAATCCTACCACATTTCAGTTACTGTGCAACAATCTTGTATATGTTTAAGAAAGGTGATATTGATATTATTCAAAAAAAACAAAACCAGGCATTTAGAAGTATTTTGCGATGGGGAAGATATGGTAGAATTAAAGACATGCTGACATCTACAAATTTATTAAGTGTAAGCCAGGAGATCTTTTATAACACTATGGTGGTAGTATACAAAATAAGGAATAGAATGTACCCAGAGCATATTATTAATAAATTAAAAATGGTCAGCGATATACATAGTTATAATGTTAGATCTAATTCCAACTTTTATGTGTCTCGGGTACAATCTTCCTTTGCCCAAAACAGCTTATTTTATAAGGGCCTTGTAGATTTTAATAGGATTCCAGAAGAAATTAAAACTACAAATTTTGTTAACTTCAAAAGGCATTTACAAAAATATGTAATAGAAAATTGTAGTTTATAAGTTTATATCCAAATGTTTTCTCTGTTAGCACATTGCTATGAAATAAAGATCATCATCGCTCAGGTTACCTATCCTATTTTCTGCTGGAATCCACTTCCCTTCTTTTTGCGGATTTTGTCCCTTATTTTCCTATTTTATATATACAGGGTGACTTTGAAGTTGAGTCATTAATTTTCAGATAATGATTGTAGAAGGAAGATAAACCAAAATATGTGTGTAAAAATAAAAAAAAAAATGTTACCTTGTTTAATAAAGTATCCTCCCGACAAGTATTTCAATGCGGACCTGTATTTGATCGTGCGGTCTTGGAGCACCGGCATGCTCTCACCTGTGAGGTCTTAAGTCACCTGATTCACGAGCCCTTTGTACTACATTAACAAAGGCACGAGGGGTTGGTTGCACTCGATTGGGAAACCGATTCGCATAAATCCGTGATGCATCCGGCAGCATTTTGTAAAGACTGCCCCCCCGTAAATAAGAATCATGTCCACAAGTTCAGCATTTTCGTAAACATGTGCCATTTTTCATTTCGTTTGAGTCACGCAACAAACATCACTATTCACCCACGCGTTACCGACTGACGAAAAACAACGTGATAAACGTTTCAAATTCTTTCGCTTTTTTGTTTCCGATGCGATGAACCGATATCCGTTGTTGCCAAACACATAATATTATTATTGAGACAGGGCGGTACTCAAACTTCTAAAGGGCTATAACTTTGTTACTTTAATTTTACCAGAAAAATGTTAAAGGATAAAAACATTTCTTTTGATCAGATCTACTCACTGTTAAAATAAATGACTCGACTTCGAAGTCACCCTGTATATATATATTATATAGGTGAAAAATTAAGGCTTCCGCCTTTTGTTGGGTACTTCGACAAACTTTTAAAAAATTGAGTATGGAATGAAGTTTTTTCAACTGTCTGTGGCAGGAAGATATCTCAAGTGTGAGTATTTTGTCACCTAACCTGTGCAGACGATTTTTGATCCCATCTTCTATTGAATGGCTTTCTAGTATGTGTGTGATGAAATAATATATATATATTATTTCCAGTAATCTGCGGTCCCGGCAACAACGGCGGCGACGGCCTGGTGTGCGCGCGCCATTTGAAGGTGTTCGGTTATAAGCCGGTGATATACTATCCGGTACGCACCGAGAAGCAACTCTACAACAACCTGACCACTCAGTGCACGAACATGGCGGTGCCTTTCTTGCAAATGCTGCCCGAACTGTCGACGGTCGAATGCACGTTCGCGCTGATCGTCGACGCCGTGTTCGGGTTCAGCTTCAAACCGCCGGTGAGGGAGGCGTTCGTCGCAAGCATCGATCTCATGAAGAAGGCTACGGTGCCTGTTGTCAGGTATGTGGCGGCGATGAGGTTCCAATGCATAGATCAGTCAAGTCACATGAGGAAAAATGTTGAGGAAACATAAAAAACATTTTTGATTTAAATTTTTTACTTTCTGCAAATTTTCGTGTTTGTTGTCATTTGCATAATTTATTAAATATATCAATCTGTAAGTAAACAAAATGAATTAGTTATGATGGAAAGATTAATGGACTTGACTGGTGGATGCAGTTTTTTGATTCATTAAGGGATAAAATTAAAATATACAACAAACTTTGACGTTAAAAGTATTGTTTTGTTAAGTTTCTGAATGAAATAAACTTTAATGCAACTTTTGGTTCAAACTTAAAATATTTCATTTATCTTCTTTGAATTCTGATGCGGAAGTTTATTAAGTTTATCTGGTGAAAAGCTCTGATGGTATTTTCTGATTTCTTCATAGAACAACCGCTCACTCTGTGGCACATAGTTTTTAGCCAGACTTATAATGTGATCAAGTTATTTCTTCCTTCAGTATTCATCTTAATTGCAGTGTTTTGTAGAGTCAGAGGCTGCACATTCCTGCGATCTCGGATTTCAAAAATATTAAACTGTTATAGATAGACTGTTTTACTATATTTAAATAATATTTCATTACCTAGCTGTTCATAGCGCACGATTCGACATTTTGAAATCGTAAATTTATTGTTCTTCCTTGAAAGATTCGAGTACTCTTGCAGCAAATATATTTTGTCGTGATTTCACTGTGTAAAAACCAGTCAAGTCCAGGATTTGGGCTATTGCTTTTTTCACAAGACTATAACCTTGTTTTTGTGTTTGTTTGTTGAAGATTTATTTAGCATTAATGGTACAATGTCAATTTTGTATAATTACTCGTTTACACATTTTTTTATTCAATTTTCGCTAATTTTACATTTTTGTCTATTAAAATTACATCACTATGCATTTTGGGTATTCATAAAGTGATTTATTGATTTATCACGAGCCATTTTTAATGGTTACCAACAACACCAATGCATTGAAAGTTGATTTAAACGTCAAAAATCAGCTTCTTAGGCCCGTATCGTCAGTCGTCCCTACAATTCAAAAATTTTTAGATTACACTTGTCCCGTGTTAGCGTCAGCGCTCTCCTATTGTTAAGATATGTTTTCTTTTTAAATTGTAAGAAATTTCAGACTGATAAAACATGATATAACTCAAAAGCAAGCACAATTTGATGCAAAAAGATGTTTGTGACATAACCTCAAAATAGAGCGCTGACACGGAGAAGTAGAAAACTATGACAATCAAGGAGGCCATAAAGGCGCCCTACAATTGTAGGGACGACTGACGATACGGCCCTTAGCAATTTAAAATGTCATCATTTGTCATACAAAGCCTAGCATTATTTGATCGAAGACCATTGATCATGTATTTTGCTATACACAAATTATTTTGCAAAGAAGACAATTTCTAAATATAAACGATTTTTATAAATAGCCGCGTCGGTTTTATTATCTTTCCATAAACATTTAAGGAAAACAAAAATTTTATATTTGAAATAAAATTTTAATTAGCCCTCAAATAAATTCACAAATATCATGTTTTGTGGCGTTCGAACGACTTCACTGAGACAGCCGTCGTAGATATTTTTAGTAGCAATGGAAAATGTTCCTGTTTAACTTTAGTTTGTTAGATTTTGAATATAAGCAGATTGAGCATCGCACGAATCCTTTGCTCCTCTTCAATTTACGTAATTTGTTGCAGTATCGATCTCCCTTCGGGCTGGCACGTGGATAACGGCGAGCCCGAAGAGCGAAGCGGCCTACTTCCCGAAATGCTGATATCGCTGATGTGCCCGAAAAGGGGCGCGCTCGATTTCAGAGGAATCTACCACTATTTGGGAGGCAGATTCGTGCCGGCCGCGTTGGAGGAAAAGTACGAGCTGAACCTGCCGGAGTACCCGGGAACGGACTGCTGTGTCCTCATCAGCTGCGATTGCGAGGATGAGGAACATCAGAAAGAGCATTAGACCCGCAAAAATCGGGCTACATTATTTGATGTTTTTAGGGAAACAAATCGAAATGTAGTAATCGGCGATTTGTCTAGCGGTATTTTTTAATAAATATTGTCGACTGTGTAGGATTATCTTGAACAGGAGAAGCATCCGTTTTTTATTGTTTCTAATTAATGTTGGCCGTGGAATATTTGATTTTTGTACTCTTTCACCTGTGTGAACATAGCCCTCCAAAAAATTATCACACAATCTACAGATATTTTTCTTTTGAAAAAAAATACCTCTAGACGAATCACACATACACACCAGAGCAGATGTACGTTTAAGAAATCCAAAAGGCTGATACACTTAGTTCAATGAATCTCGTTTTTGTGTGTTGACATGCGTAATTTCGTACAAAGTTACGTGCTCTTCATGCAGCGCGTTATCGGATCCATTTTAAGAAGAAAACTTTATATGAACCTAAACGTCTCAACTTTTGAGATACCTTCAGTTTTCAAAAATAAATATTTTATCATCTTCTGACCAATCAGAATTCTCTTGATCACTTTCAGAACCGCTGATTTCTGATATTTTTCCAAGAGCAATTTTCCACTTCTGATGACGGATCGGCATATATTTTGCCATCCTAGTACATTTTGATAGATATTTTTTTAAGCTTGTTAGCGATATTTGAAGGCAACGATAGAAGAAAAGGATCTATTTAATTAGAAATATCGTCACGTGGGGGGCAAGGTTTGCTCTGTGTTGAGAAGACTCGCTGGTGAGGAGGCACAAAAAAATCAAAGTGTATTAACAAAATAAAAGTACAATGATCAGGTAGTCAAAGGTCCAGTTTTAAAGCAGGAATTATCCCACGTGTCCGCCATTCAATTTTTATAAACCTTTACAGATCATGCAACAACAGAAACGTCCGAGGAAAAAGATGGAAATAACAACTATCTGGTAAGTTGGGAGGAGGAACCAAAGTTCCCTGGTCATCAAATATTGGTCTAGAATGTTGTGTCTATACATAGGTTGACAAAAATTTCTTCTTAAAATTGACTTGAAAATCGACCCCCTATTCACTTCGGAATAAGTACAAACTAACTGGTAGATCAGACAACTATATTGATAAGTAATCAATTTGAAACTCTTGATAGTTAATTATACACATGGTTGACACATTTCATTTAGGGAAATTTCACACATTTATTATAAATCAAAAGATACTAGCAAACTTACTGAATAGTTCAAAATTCTTTTTATCACATAAAATACTCTTCGTCGTTTTTGGAAACATATATAGCATGATTCATGTTTATCTAGATATAGGAATATATATTATCATCATTATTAAAAAGGTAGAATAGTTTTATTTTATACATGTTTTTCAAGAATGAAGGGTTTCCTTCATATTAATCTTGCCGTAAAAATGCAATACATTTTGGAGATAAGGAAATGCCTAATTTTCAAATGAAGACTTTCTAACTGAAAATGTAATGTGTTTATTATGAACAGGGTATTATATACATGCATTAAACTAGATTTATAAAATAAATGTATGACAACACTTTCAGTTGTATAATTTTTTATCCTTACCATTTAATCTTGATCTTGAATTTAAAACTGAGTAGCCAAGTTTTCCTTGACCTCCACGACTTTCTAAAATACCAGGAAAAAATAACCTTTTCAACTTGATTGTTTGGCAATGAGGTCGTCTTACATTGAAACGATAACTTTCTCACGAAATTTTATTGACAAGTTAGAAGAAAAAAAATTAATAGTGTTGGGCCACCCAGCAGCTGAATATACTCCTATATATTACTAGGCATCGACTAAATGAGATGATCGATATCTGGTTGTGGCATCTAATTTAATGATTACCTATGGCAGACTGTGAAAAGTGGATAGTCTCCTACTCATCATATCCAACACATGTTTGATGGGATTTAAATCTGGTGAAAGTGGTGGCCACAGCAAAACATTGCCTTCTTCTAGAAGAAAGACTAGTATGATGAGCAATATAGGGACATGCATTGTCTTAACACACAGCACTCATATTACCACTGAGTATAAGTTTATAATAGTCACTAAAAAGGCATTGAATGAAGTCTGTAGAATATTTTTATTTTATGTGTCAGTTTTACCAGACGTGTTCCCTTCAAATAAATTTTACCAAAAAAAGCAATACATTTTAGAGACAAAGAAATGCCTAATTTCCAAAAGAAAACATTGTAACTAAAAATGTAATGTGTTTATTAATGAACAGGCTATAATATATGTACATTATACTAGATTTAGATAAATAAATGCTTAACAATACTTTCAGTCTCATTCCTGATCCTTATCATTTAGCATTCTCCTTAAACTTGAAACCTAGACTAGCTAAGTTTTCCTTGGCCTCCACAATTTCCTAAAACATTAAATAAAATGAGTATACAAAGAAGTTACACGTGAAAATAAAACTAACTTCTGACAATTGTTGAGCTGCTTCTTTGCAGTCGTTGAAATTATAAACTCTGTACAAGACCACTGATAAGGCATATAGCTGAAACAGACGTTTATTTAGTAAAGATCAGAGACGAGTTTGCTAATCTTACCCCAAAAATAAATACACATATAACGGGGGAATACAGTATCAAATCGTAGTGTTTTTGAACAAATTCATTGAGTGATTTGCTTGTTAGTAAATATATCCAAATAGCGAAAATGATACCCAAGCCCGATAGCCATTCTTGCAGTTTCGTCATTTTGCAATCAAGCACAGATTATCTTATAGTTTATTGCTTTATCAGTACTAATTTTTACATCGGCAGAATCAAAATTTTCAAAAGTTTTGGTTAGTAAGTCATGACAGCTGACAGTAATGACATCAGGCCGTTTCACATGAAACCGGTATATGACTAAGAAATACTCCAGTCGTATCTCATGAAACCGATATTCGATTAAGTACCTTCAGCCTCCTTGAACCCGTGGATCTTACGTCTTAACCTCAAATTAGAATTCGAAATCTACGTATGAGATTTATCGAGGAAGCAAGACTTACTTCAAATCACAAAATGTTTCACAAGAAACCTGAACATTTAGGATTTTGAAGGTTATAGTGAAAAGTTTTGAACTGGGTTTCTCATTATTAGATTAAAAATTAATGCATATTGGTTAGAAGGTTACAGTCTAAGAATCAAAGCCGAATTTTAATTATTATTCAAATTATCATCCCCAAGATAAAATTTTAATTACGCAGAAAATTTAATGGACCTCTACGAACATCATAAATATAAACGAATTTAGCAGACGCTATTGACTGTTCGTTTTCTAGTATTTTCCGAAAATATACAGCAGATCTGTATGGAATACTAGAAGTGAAAGATTTATAGATGACGTCATACATTCCAATAATGCAGATGACCTATACATTCAGTGTTTTGTAGGTTGTGACTTGACTTGACTTCTTCTGCTCATCAGGGTAGTCCGGGGGCCATTTGCCCAAAAATTACTGAGGTTCCAAGACCGCTTTCAGACGGGCTACTTTTTGCAGTCCAACTTGACCGCAAAAATAGGTTTTCAAAAACATTGTTTCTTCCCCAACTGTATCGGAGCTATCGACGGAAAGCATATTAGGATAATTAAACCAATAGAAAGCGGATCACAATTTTTTAATTACAAAAAGTATTTTTCCATCACTCTTCTAGCTGTCGCTGATTCAAATTATAATTTTGTTTACGTCGATATTGGGTCCTATGGAAGATCCTCAGACTCTACAATTTTTTCTAACAGTACATTGTATCATAAGATGCAAAATAATGAACTTGACATTCCAAACGGGAAACCTCTCGTAAGCAATGGGAAGATTGAACCATTTGTTTTAATTGGAGATGAGGGTTTTGCTCTTTCAAATAATTTGTTGCGCCCATATGCAAGAAAAAATTTATCTGAAAAGAAAAAAGTATTTAACTTTCGTTTATCGAGTGCTAGAAGAAGTGTGGAGTGTTCTTTTGGAATTTTAACAAATAAATGGAGAGTGTTTCATAGGCCCTTAAACGTATCAGTTGATTTTGCAGTCGATATAGTTAAGGCGTGCTGTATATTGCACAACTTCGTAAGGCAACGTGATGGATATAATTATGATCATACATTAACTTGTGAAGATCTATACAATCTCGCCGTTTGTCACGACAGAAGCAGCAGATCTGCCAGCACCACGAGAGAATAATTTGCAAATTTCTTTATGTCTCCAGAGGGGCAAGTTCCTTGGCAATTGGGAAGAATATGAATTTGATGTTATAAATTATGGATTTGTTGAATTAAAGCATATATTACTTACCGATTTGATTTTTTTCGTCGCCACTTAACTCCTGCAAATTATTATTAAATATTCCACATATCTTTTCCCAAGCTTTTGCCTTTTCAACTCTGTTACTATATGAATCGCTTTTGTAGTCCCAAATCGCGGGTTCAGCCTGGATTTCAGCAATAAAACTGTCCGTATCGAATGGCTCCATTTTGTCAACTACGCTCTCTTGTCGCCGCGCCATGTAGTTCGAAAGTGGTCCGTGCGAAAAGAAAAACGTTGTAGTTGGCGTGTGGTCAGTCAACGGGACCGGCGACAACCAGCGGCAGAAGTTGGGTTGCAGCCGAAAAAACGCCCGTATGAAAAGGAATCGCTTTTTAAATGAGAACTGCAAGTAGAGACAGTCAACTACAAACGATCGACTTTTTGCGGTCAAGTTGGACTGCAAAAAGTAGCCCGTCTGAAAGCGGTCTAACTGACAGAAAAGCGAATCTCTTTAACAAAAAATGCCAAAGATAGATTATACAGTAATGAAAATTATATGACGAAAGTAGTCAATGTAAAGAAATAAGGAGTAAATTATAGTTTTAGATGTTCAGATTGTTAAAGAAGTGCTAATCTAGGTCTTTTGTGTTTGTGAATGGATGCAGGATCATATGTCACCGCATCTCTTATTAAAGGATTTGAATGTGAAGTTGCACGATCGTAACTTTTGCTTGCAATTTGTTTAATGAATTGAGACAAGAAAGGAATATCCAGGTCATGACGAATGGTCGCGGTATTGTTCGTAGAATCTTGTTTTGTATCACTTGCAATTTTGTAATGTGGGTCTTGACAGCAAAGCACCAAGCTACACATGCGTAGATTATTGTTGGACGTATAATCGATTTGTATAATACTAGTTTATTAGTTAAGCTCAGTTTTGTAGTACCCTTGAGCATGGGGTATACATTAAGAAATGTAATTATAGCCTTTGTTCTAATCGATTCTACATGAGATTTCCAAGTTAGACATGCGTCAATTGTTAATCCTAAATATTTTGCTTGATCTGCCCATGGAATTCTTTGGTTACAAATAATTATTTCGGCTGGTAATGATTGTCGTCTTTTAGTGACTAAAATTGCCTGGGTTTTCCCAGCGTTCAATCTAATTCCCCAACGGAGACACCAATTCTGAAGCTGCTCTACAGCCTCTTGCAGTCGGTCTCCAATTTCTTGATTGGAGACAGACCTAGTTATCAGCATACAGTAGTATGTCTGTGTGAGGTATGTGAGGAATATCTGCAGTAATGTATAGTGTCGGAGCCAGAACAGAGCCTTGAGGAACACCTGCTTCTTAAAGAGGAAAGTGATGTTCCTATTTTAATTCTAAATTTTAATAAGTAAAAGTCATATTAAGTGTGACCAGGGATTTGTAATTAATATTATAAAAACTACCTTATTTCAAAATATTCAAGCTTCCTAAGAATGACGGTCTATGGTGTCCAGAAGGATCAAAGCCGTTGTTATTATTCAAATTATGATCCCACAGACAAAATTATAATTACGCATAAAAGCTGTTGCACATATGAGAACATCATAAATGTGAACGATATTAAGCTAGTGACTGTTCGTTTTCTACTATTTTCGAAAAATATAAAACATGGATTCTTACATGACGTCACACATTCAGAGTTTGTATACCGAGGTGGCTTGAAAGTGACTAATAATTTTGTGTCAAAAAGTATGAAAGCTTTTGAAATACGTCCGCTAGAGGGCGTCACCCTCAAAGATACATTATTTAGAAAATATAACTGTTGGTGCCTCTCTCTTTTAAAATACTGCTATTGTATACACTAATTTGTTGGAGAATACTTTCAAACGTTCAACGATATAATTCGAATGTTAATTATAAGATATCATTTATTGGCTAGTTGTTTGCAGATTATTGACAACCTTCCCTGTCAGCTGTCTTGTTTGGACCAATGCAACGCCGTCCGCCATGTTTATTTTCGTTATAACGCCTCCTATTGGTTAAATTGAACCCTGACGCATAAACAACCGTAATCCAACCGTTTTATTTTATTGCCAGAAGAAAAGAAGCAGCAAGTTTGTAGTGAAAGTGATTGACGACTTCTTAACGCGAGAAGAGTTGCACAAAACGCGAATATTGGTATCTAAACGTCGCGAGGCCCCCCTCAGCCATGTCTTTCGTGCGGAATTTGAAGGAAGAACTAGCCGAACCGGAGGATTTCGACTCGTCCTCAGGTTGCGACATGTCTTTCGAGCTATCGAACGACGAGCATTTGATTTGCAGCCCGAAACCGATCCGTGGGGCGCGGAAACTCGAGTTCGCAGCGTGTAACAACAATAACAACGATACGCCGTTGCCTAAAAATCCATCGTTGAGTCCCCCGTATAAGAGGATCAGAGCGCTGAGGCTGTTCGACAGCCCGTTGACTCCTAGGACTATCATACAGAAGTCCTCGACGAACACCCCGCTGCCTAGGAGCAGGCTCTTCGGGGACAAACCCAGAGCAGTGGCCAGTGCGTATCACAAGAGGGAGGATAAACCCTCGGCAAATGTCAACCCCTTCACGCCAGATGGTAAGGAAACAAAGGGCTTCTTTTGTGTGAAAAAGCAGCTGATTTCTGGAAAATAGCAGATTTCGGAGTTTTGTTTGTCTTGAATTCTCTATAACAACGCATTAGACAGTTTATAAGTGAACAATTGATAAAAGTCGGAAAAAATGTTTCTATAGGTCACTACGACTTTTCTGAATTGTTCTGCTATTGACGACTCAAACCAGCACTAAAATTAAGACGTAAACAAGAAGTGAGTATTTTCACAAAGGAAAAGAACAACAGCTTCCATTGTTCTTTACATTCAGCCTTCATATGCAGTTTGGTAAAAGTTTTGATGTCAAATTCTGTATGCATTTTAACTAGTCATATTGATAGAAGATATAATTAAATTTATATCAAAATGTTGAAGGTGTTTTCATTTTAATAGATACTTTTTGGAAAATAAAAGACTATTCTGTGAGACATTCTGCAGTATCATTTCAAAAAAATGTTTTGTTGTTAGGGTGTTGGCTTAATTTTCTTTTAAAAAATCAGTATTCTACATAAAAAACAATTGGATTGACACTTGATTCGTTTTTTCTTTCTGTAGGCATGTTATTATCTAAAAAACGAAGAAGATCAGTAAGGTCTTTGATTGATTCTCCAGAATTAAAAGCAACCACTTGCAGTTTAAATGATAGTGACTCATCAGATGTAGAACTGGAACAGCCAACAAAAAGGGTAGCACTTAGGGTAAGTCAATTTTTGCAATACTAGAAGTGAAACATAAAACGTGATTATTTCTTTGACATACGATCTATTGCTATGTTTTGCTCATTGATTATTTGCTGTTCATATCTTCACTATCCTTTTCCAATGTCTCATTGTTTGATCATATTGATATCCTTTGCCCGTTTTTAACTTATAAATAATTGCTTTTATTTTATTGTTTTTAGGAAAGTAACATTTCTAGATATCATCAAGAATTTTTGGAATTAGAGTTGATTGGTAAAGGCCAATTTGGTTCAGTATATAAGTGTGTTAATAGATTAGATGGTTGTGTGTATGCTGTGAAAAAATCAACAAAGCCAGTAGCTGGGAGTGCCTTTGAGAAGACGGCTTTAAATGAAGTATATGCACATGCAGTTTTAGGTAATGCATTTGTTTTGTTTGCTTGTTGAAGATTTATTTAGCATTAATCACTCTTTCGAACTACTTAATTTTTTGAAGTTTTCTAAATGTCGTGGTAATAAATGATTTTTTAATTTGAATATGAAAATGAAATAAATGAAATTTTCCATATTCAACCACTGTAGTTCTTCTAACGTAGACTTAATCCTAGCATATTTGTTTTTATTTAAAATGATTCTCATACCTTTATTTTGTAAAATCTGTAATATAGAAAATAAGTTTTTATTTAAATAGTTGAACAATATAAAACATGAGGAAGCTGCTATACACATTTTTTTTTGAATAGATACTGAGATTATGGGAAACTCTATACTACAATTTTTCATTAATTATGAGCATATTGACATACATTTTGTTTTATTAGTGTTTAATTTAAGTTTATTAACATTTATCCAATTCAGATTTTTTTTAATCTAGTTTGATATCTTGTCATTGATCTTGCGGAATTAATTTGCTAGTAGTAGTATATCTCAAAAATAAAGTGGTATGTCTAAAGAAAAGTAGCATACTTAAAATATCACAATAAATGTTAACACAACGAGTTAACAGTGTTTGTTGCAAAAACTATAAACAAAAATTTGATAAAAAATGTAAGTTCATTCTGACTAGATTATATAGGCAATAATCTGACTAGTACATTCTATCGCCACATTCGAGCCTTTGGACTTTGTTCATACCGTCCACGGTTAGTGCTTCCTCTGACTGCGAACCACTGTCGTCAACATTTGAACCGGAGCACAGAATGACAACATTGGTTTTCAGAATGGCATAATATCATTTTCAGCAACGAATCGCATGTATTCAGCTGAACAGATTATTTTTTTCTGATTACTTGTCAATAAAACTTCGTAAAAATGTTGTCTTTTCATTCTTGATGTAAGATTACCTCATTTCCAAAACTGAGTATACAGGGTGTTACTTAATCATATGCAAATATTTAAGGATGTAAATCTACATGAAAAATTAATGTTAGATATTTCACTGATATTTAGTACGTATTGAAAGTTAATGACGTTGCATATTTTTCAATGCAAAAATAATTTTTAGCTTCTACAGTGGCGTGTGTACGATATTTTTTAAGCAAAAAGTGGTTTGCCAATGGTTTTTTGCCAAATAAAAATTATTTTAGAATTCCCCATTCATTTTAAAATAAATGATCTCTCTTGAATTGTTTTTCTCTAATGCGCCATTTTTGAGTAAAAAAAAAATAAAAACCGTTCTATTGAGAGAGAAAATTAATGTAATAATTGAAGAATTCATTTAGCAATAAATATCTAGTTGCTCTGGAATGTTTCACGGGCTTTTGACATCTGACAAGTCTCTGTTATTCTAATCTGTTTGCTGTGACATCTTTTTCATTATTAAGTTTTTACAATTTTGTTAAAGATGGTGAATTATTTAAATGCAGAAATGGTGGACATGCATTACGTATATGGCCTTGCCGACGGTAAGTGTGAGAACACCTAAAATTGAGGAAGCAGTGCTGCACGAAGTCGAATAACATCCTGAAACGAGTACGAGGAAGATCGCTAGACACTTAAATGTTTGCCATCAAATTGTTTGGAGAATTTTAGTGGATTTTTTGTTATATCCATACCATATTTTAATCTAACATTAATTTTTCATGTCGATTCACATCCTTAAATATTCGCATATCATTAAGGAAATGTTCGTTTTACCTAAGGACTGCTTCATATCGAATCTGGCATAAATGCTTGCAGGCAAACACCAACACGTAGTCAGATACTATTCAGCGTGGGCAGAGGATAACCACATGATCATCCAGAACGAATACTGCAACTGCGGATCGCTGGCGGACAAAATCGCGAAGGAGCCTCTGACCCAACAGGAACTGCGCACGATGCTGCTCCACGTGGCCGAAGGCTTGCGCTACATCCATTCCGAAGGTCTCGTGCACATGGACATCAAACCCGCGAACATATTCATTTCGAGAGAGAAAAAGGTCCATTTGAATTACGACTCGCACGATGACGGCTTCGAGGAGTTGGACGAGAGCTCGATGATGGAGGAGGAGCTGACGTACAAGATCGGAGATTTGGGACACGTTACCAGCATACAGAATCCGCAAGTGGAAGAAGGTAAGGGCGATTTTTGATTTATTTGACATTATTGCTATATCAATTATAAACAATGCAGTCGACGTCAAGCAGGAAACGGGTGATAGGATGAATCATGATAGTTATCAGAAAAATATAAAAAAAAAAAACAAATCATCGGCTTCAAAAACAAATCGAAAAAAATCTACATTCTGTGATGATTTTTTAGTTCCAATTACTACAACTTTATTTTTATGACCTTGTCATTTATTATAGAATTTTCTGTTCTATTCAACAATGAAATAAATTATTACTACTACTACTATTTACTACCACTATTAAATTTCCATAATACTCACATGTGGGCCCAAGAAAATCCTCATACCATTCGTGACGGTCATTTCCAAGAAAGTTTTAAAATAAATATTTGGGCGGGTATTCTTGACGATCAGGTAATTGGCCCTTTCGAGTTACCCCCAAAGTTGTCAGGAGAAGGATACCTTAGCTTTCTAGCCAATAACCTAACAAAACTTTTGGAACAGACCTTAGACAACATGCCATTACAATGGAGACAGAATTTGTGGTTTCTTCATGTCGGGGCACCACCACACATTTTTAGAGGCGTCATTCAGTATTTCAATGAACATTATCCAAATCGCTGGATGGGTCGAAATGCTCCTAATCCTCGAAAATGGCCACCAAGATCTCCTGACCTCAATCCGATCGATTTCTGGTATTGGGGATGGTTTATGGAGCTGGTCCAATAACAACTGAAGCACAACTTCGCGAAAAAAAATTTAATGCGGCTAAAATAATAAACGAACAACTTCGAGGACCTAGAGTAAGAAGAAACTGGGTTCGTCGTAATGTGTGGAAAGTGGAGGACGACATTTTGAACACATTCTTTAAATACAAAAAAAGTGCAGTGTGGATTTTAAAAAGAAAAACAATGTATCACCCATTTAAATAATGACTATCGTAATATATGATTCTATCTAAGTCAGCTTGAAACGAGAAATGTGTATTGTTCTTAGGCGATTGCCGTTACCTGCCTGCCGAGATCCTCCAGGATGACTACACGCAGCTGCCAAAGGCGGACGTATTCGCATTGGGCGTGACCGTGATCGAATGCCTCGGGGGCGGGCCGCTGCCGAAAAACGGAGAGGCGTGGCACGCGCTCAGGCGAGGCGAAGTGCCGCCCCTCAAGCAGAAAGTCAACAGGGATATGGTCGAGTTGGTCAAGCAGATGATACATCCGGAACGCGCCAAGAGACCGTCTCCGGCGCAGATATTGCAGAACAGGTACGCGAATACGATTCAGTTCGATATTTTTCTTATTCTTCCAGCCTGCTGAAAGTGCCGAAGAAACTTGTTATCCCGGTAATGACAAATTAAAAGTAATTGGAAATCAATTTGTAATAGTTACTGGCGATTGTGCGATGGGTGAATCTGCGGTAGTGTCGTCACTGACACGCCACTACATGAGAAATATTTATATATTTTAGCAATGTTTTGATGTTACAAGTATACATCCACCTTGTCCATGTTGTAAAGACTCTGATTCAAAATATAAAACAAATTTTGGACATAAACGATTCACCCTTTACCAGAATGTATAAATAGTATCCAATCGATAATACTTTTTAGAAAAAAGCTCAGGGAATTTCTTGTTTATAATGCCCTATATTCATTAAATGATTACTTAAATATTTGATACTTATTAGATTTTTCGTTTAGTGCTGTATTTTTAAAGGTGATTGTACCATTTTTACTAACTTGTGATCTTTAACAATTCCAACTCTCTATTGTGGAGTCTCATGGAATTAAAGATATTATTTCAAATGGGACGTAAAAAACACAGGCCAAAGCATATTACAGCAATTTCAGGTTAAATAATGTGCAAATCATATTTATTGAAAACATACAGGGTGGCGCATCGAAAACGAAACAAGCATTTAATTTTAAAGAAGTGTTTCATCTATCCCTTTTTTGGGGTTTCTCTTGAGAATGGTTATTTTTTCTCATATTGTTGCATAAACTGGAATTAGTAGAGTCGCCAGGTTCTGGAGGCAATAACGGTCAGTGAGTGCTTCTCAATTTTTTCTCGGGTGCAATAAATTCCACTCTATGCAACAGTGTAAGAAAAAATACCCATTCTCAAGAGAAACCCCAAAAAAGTTCCTTTTTGAGGATAAATATAACACGTGTATTTTCTTCGTTTTCAGAGCCCTATCGCCGGACATCGGCAAATCCAAAGCCGAACTGACCCGAGAGCTGAACGCCGAAAAGATGCGCAACGAAATGTTGCTGAAGCAATTGCAGGAAGCCGCGATTTGCATCAAAACGATCGCCAGTGAAAGCGTGGCGAAAGCGGCGCCGTCAGTGGTGACCAAAATCAACTCGAGATTGATCGGCAGGAAGGTGAATCGTAGCGTCAGCACCACAACTTTTTGAACAGTACATTGATTTTCGTTTAATGGTGGCTAAATATTTTTTTAATCCGATAATTTTAGAATCTTGCTTGGACAGTTTTATGGCGCTGTTTTATACAAAGTGTTCCACAACGATGTGGAATACGTTGAAAAACAAGCGCTTAAAAACGGTTTCTACCATTTGTCTTTGCTCGCCAATGAATCAACAAACGTTTTAATTTTGTCTGTATATCATGAGCGTTTCGTTAAAATGAATTTATTTTAAGTAAAACCAATAGAACATGTTCTCTTTACTTAGGTCTCGATTATGGATTATTTTCAGTAATATTTATATCAGTGTACTACGAATGGTTGTGTCGATAGCATTTTACAAGAATCGCTATCCTGCAAAGGTGCGTCGGATGATTTTTCCCAGGAAAAAGAAACTACGTTTAAACTTACAATGCATTCGTGATCGGCTTATTACGAAACTCAAAACTAGAAAAGTAGGAGCGAAAACATTTTCGGTTGCCGAGGGATTTTACTCGAAAGTAGAAGTACAGTTTTTATCATGGGATTGCAGTTTGTACATCAATTTTTCGTTTGTAATTGCTTTGAATACAATCAGCTGGGATTTTAAAAAACGTCTTGAGACTGAAAGTATCCGGAGATTTGTCAACGTTTTTTTAAAAAATTATGAATCCCAAGAATTGATACCAGCCTTCAAGAATACAAAAAATTGTAGGTGATAAAATGTACAATGCATACTTCTGGAAGGTGAATGAAACTTTCATTTTTGAAATATTGGAGTTCGATAGAAGTCAACTAGGTATTATCTCTTATCTATAAGTATTTATAGATATTGATAGATATAATCAAGGGTCACATGAAAAAACTTTAGGCTGTTTCCTAATTGAATTTCAATATTTAAGATGACGATTTTTGCGGCCGTTCAAAGTAGAAAATTTCATACTAGCGTATGTCCTAAATTTTTTGGGAAATTTTAAAAATAAAGGGCTTATTATTAATACGAGGGGCACGCTGTATATTTTGAGATGCGCATTAACTGGTGTAAACCAATTTAAGACAGATCATGGAGTTATCGCGCTGTGAACACCTTCTGAAGATGCCGACCACTCGTATTGGCGAAACGTCAAATAAAAGTATTTTAGGATCACCTAACTACACAAAAGCCGACTAAATAGCATCAAAATGATTTGCTTTTGTAAAATTTACCATCCCAAAAGTTAAGACCTTTAGGACATAAGTTTATACGAAGTTTTCTTCTTAAAATGAACCCAAAAATCGACCCCTTAAATACTGATATTTAATTATTAGCTAACACCCTGTTTAGACATTCTTTACATTCAAAAGTACTACAAAATCTATCTACGGCTCATTTTGGTTTACTTAATATCAACTGGTCATTTTTATACTCGTTTCAGTTGGCCCTTTACTAATTTTTGTAAAATCGACACACTTTCCAAACGAAATGATTTTTTTTAAAATACACGATTTGACACTGTCTGATCCTTTTTAGGCGTAACAGCTGTACCTCGAATGGTGTTAAGAAATAAAGTCATTATATTTTCTCGGATTTTATTTCTTATGTTTTATTAATTGTAAGCTTTAATATTTTGCAATATTGTGACCAGATCAGTTCTTTAGTTAGTGGCTGATGTGAGAACCGTCCGCGAGTATTCTAAAGAAAAATACAAATCTTAAACGGTTTTGAATTGCTAAAAAACAGGTTTGATTAAACTTGAAGATCATTTTAATTATAAGCTCATATCACCGCACCACAAGCTTAGGTTAAGATGAAATAGGCTCTTTTTTACGAGAAAATTATTTTGTCATTGATTTTGTTTCGCTACGCGATTTTATAGACACTTTAATAAAAATTATAAAAAAAATAATAATTTGCCAGAAGAAACTTTTCCGCATATTCCTTGTGTGGCCCAGGAATATGCAATTAAGTCGCAAAAACTAAGAAACATACAAAAAATCAAAAAACAAAAAAGTTGTATTTCTATTCGCTTAATAAAAGGAATATAATAAAAATTGGACAAAAGTCAGTCGGGCATATACCTTTTTGTAACAAGTATTCAATAATTTTAATTGAAGTTAGGGCTAAATTAGCTCTTTAATATCATAAATACTACTGCTAAATTATAACAAAATTTGGTAAAGGTTATTTAAGATATTTATGAAAAACCTTTTTTTTTTAATTTTAATACTCTGTATCATGAGAACGAATAATTTGCAGATCTATGTTCGTATGTACTTTTTGTCTCAAGATTACTCGTCTGTTAAATTTACTGTGACACCCTGTATAAAAAAAGAAGTCTCAAAGAAAATAGTATAATACATTCTTGAAAAGATTTTTGCATTTTCTCAATCCTTTTTACTTCCTAATTTCGAATTTGACTTTTCTGAGAATCCTGACCATTTAAAAAAAATGCGATGTTGTCAAATGTATCTATGAGCCTGTTTGACTGACACGATCCATTGAATTCCTTTGCTATACACGTTTTTCTAGCATTTTTAAAGCAATGTCTACATTTTCATCTGCAAATATCTGAATTTTACAATCTAAAATATTACAGTTCTCATTAATGTATAAAATAAATAGTAGTGGACCTAGTTCACTACCTTGTGGTACACCAACAGAAATACTTTTTTTAGCTTGATAACATAGATCCAATTTTGTTTTTTTGACTTCTTTCAATGGAATAGTTTTGTACAATTTTGAATACAGATCCTTTAAAGCAATAGTGATGCAACATTGCAAGTAATTTATCTCTGTCAGTAGTTTCAAACGCATTTTGTACAATATTTTTCATTCATTAAGCACCATTTTAGATAAAATCTCACCCCTATTTTGATTTGATTTCAATTTTCTTATAATCCTCTTGAGACGATTAAATAAATAAATAAAATCCTTTAATCCAGCGTTCGAACCTTGTTCGTGCTTTTTTTCTGTCAGGCTAGTGATAAAATGAGTTGCGGTGATATGAAAATACGTATACGAAACGAACGATTGCCGCTACAAGAATATTTTTAATGTATCGATTGTGAAACCAGGAATAATCTGTACTTCGTTGGTAGGTCGCGATGAATTTACTTGTTAGAATATTATTATTTCCATTTTGTATAATTTGGGAAATCTGTACATTTTTTTAATATCAATGGCTGTTCATTTCAAAAGTGATTAGAGTTATTGTTAGATTTCACGTTTAGTTCATATGCACCCCAATGGCCTTTCCATGGTCTATCACATTTTTACATGTGTACTTTGAACTATTGTATTTTATATTGTTATTGAATGTATGTGATACTTCATATTTTTAGCGGCTAGATGTTTAGATGCTACGGTTTTTTATTCTTTTTTTCTCTAAGTATTTTCTACGAGGTGACAACATTTTTTTTTCTTCTACTTATTTATAAACATTCCTCCTTAGCTAGTGCCTTATACCAATTATTATACTATTAGTTTTTAATGTTACTTATATTTTGTGAAGATAACCAAATATATTTTAATAAACGATCTGCTAGTGTTTATTTTTACTTTATCTTTAGATATATCTAGGTCTCTCAGTCAATACTTTTGTAGAAAATAATAATAATTGTCTTAATGGGCCAATGAAAAGGCGGTTAAAAGTTACTGAAAACTTTATGTACGAGGGGTGTCTTTTAAGTTTTGCATATAGAAACATAGTAGGCCGCCCGGATCGAACGTCAGTACTGAATTTTAACCTCACTCTTTAGTAAACTTAAATTCAAAGTTTCACAACAATACGTGAAATGTTCTTACTACAGCGAATTTTTAAGTGTCACCAAATCATTAGAAAAATGGAACTCGACCGAGAACATTTTCGCGCGATAATTTATTACAACTTTCAGAGACAATTATCGCAACAAGAATGCCTTGCTGAGTTAGTGTCTGTTTTCGGCAACGAAGCGCCACATCAGTCGACAATTTCCCGTTGGTATGAAGAATTCAAACGTGGACGGGTGAGTCTTAGCGACGATTCCAGAGCGGGTGCACCAAAAACGTCAGTCACCCAGGAAAACGTCGATGCTATGCGCAAACTCATCATTGAAGATAGACATGTGACATATCGCGAGATTGAGGCGTCCTTGAAGATCTCAAAGACCTCAATTCAAAAAATTTTACATGAAGAATTAGGAGTGAGAAAATTAGTTTCTCGTTGGATACCCTACCTGTTGACTGAAGAGCAGAAACCAGCCAGGGTTAATAATTGGTGTCAAAAAACGCTTTGTTTTAATTCCGGAAACTCAGAAAATGTGTACAGCATTGTTAGTGGTGAAACGACAGTCGGCTGTTTGGGTGTTCCAAGGTGAAGAAAAGCCAACAAAAGTAGTCCGTTCTCGAAGTGTTTCGAAAAAGATGGTCGCGACATTTGTGTCAAAAGCGGGTCATATTGCAGCAATTCCTCTTAATGAGCAAAGAACTGTTACTGCGGATTGGTGTACCACCATTTGTTTGCCAAAAGTCATCACCGAGCTTCGAAGAATCAACCCCGAAAGAAGAATCATCCTCCACAAAGACAATGCAAGCTCGCACACAGCCCAAAAAACAAGACAGTATTTAACGGAAGAAAACGTGGAATTATTGGACCATCCTCGATATAGTCCTGATCTAAGTCCTAACGATTTCTGTACTTTCCCGAAAATTAAAAACAGACTGCGTGGTCAAAGGTTCCAGTCACCAGAAGAAGCAGTTGGCGCGATCAAAAATGCCGTTTTGGATCTGCCAGCAAACGAGTGGAATAAGTGCTTCGAAAATTGGTTCGAGCGCATGCAGATGTGTATTAATCTTCGTGGAGAATACTTCGAAAAACAATAGAGTCATTTAAAACTACCTAGCGTGTTGTCTTATTTCCATATGCAAAACTTAAAAGACATCCCTCGTACAATCTGAATAAATTTGAAAATCTTAAGTGAAACGCAATAGTTTATTTTTAGATCACCCTGTATTGTATAGCTATACTTGAAAAGACGTTGCCCTACTAATCAAAATTGACGTGTCCGAGCGTTTTTCGCAAAATATGGTTATGATTTGTTTTTCTTCGTGTTGCAAACCTAGAACATGTCCGTCTTCATCGTTCGACAAATAATTATGAACACGGATTAACGTTTCTGCATACCTCGTTCTATGCTCATTTTTCATGTTTTGTGCCAGATCACACATCAAATCGCTGTCACGCTGTGCTGTCACGTCACTTCCAATACGCGGGTAAATACTTTTTCAGTTTGACAAAAACATTTTCTATTGAAAAATAACTATTTTCCACGCCCTCGAAAAATTGTAAAAACATATATCCGGTGCAACAACATTAGTGGCATATACGTTTATAAATTATTGAAAACAGCGAAACGTACAAATTTCTTAGTAGCAATGGCAAAAGTTCAACTATGCAATATTACGGTTATGGACAATCCGAGTCCCTTTTTGAACCCGTTTCAATTCGAGATAACGTTCGAATGCATCGAAGAGCTCAAAGAAGGTAGTAGAAGACATACAAAAATAGTTTATAACGACTAAATTTATTATTTTACAGATCTAGAATGGAAAATGATCTATGTGGGTTCAGCAGAAAGCGAAGAATACGACCAAGTGCTCGAGTCCGTTTTCGTGGGGCCCATTCCAGAGGGGAAACACATGTTTGTATTTCAGGTGAAAGATAGGGCTCATTATATGTGCATAAAATAATGGTTTAAACAATAGCTTTGCTTGTGGATCTGACTTGATTCAACTGGTTCTTACTTGTCTGTGTAGTATGAGACTTTATTATCATAAAACAGTGATTTTCCTGAGCCTATCAAGTTTTTGATGAATGCCTGTTTAACCTGAGGAGGTTGAAAACCAGCATTTCACTTTGACTTGTTAAAAAAGCTCGATTATGATTAAGCAAAACAGATATTCAACTAGAATAGGGCCAGTAAGGCATTTTGAGCTGATAACAATCATCCTGTGTAATTTAATCAATCAAAACATATAGGATTTTATAGAGGAAATGTATGAAACTGCACGATTTGTTGATTTGGGGGCAGTGAATGCAATTATGATAAAAAAATCATGAACAAATTTGAAGTAAAAAGGAAACTGGTACCTTGCTACTGGCTGCCATTTTTTGTCTTCAGATCCTGTGTTGGAACTCATAAAAAAACTTGTTTATTTTGTATTTGCAGGCGGATCCTCCAAATGTGAGCCGCATTCCCGAAAATGACGCTATAGGTGTGACAGTTGTACTGCTCACCTGCTCATATAGGAACCAAGAATTCATACGTGTTGGATATTTCATAAACAATGAATATAGTGATCCCGAACTTAGAGAAAATCTGCCTAGTCCGCCACAGTTTGATAAGGTATCTCTATTTTTTTTTTTGTATGAGGAAAGGATTATATATTTTTTCGATTGAGATACTTTTGCATTATAGATAAACACAAAGAAGATAGAAAGAGATGTTTATTTATTAAATAATACAGTAATGGACAAAAGTGAATAGACAAATTAATATTGTGCTGTATTTCTTTTTTATCTTGTATACATAATTTGTTATAGCATAATACTCACTTATACATAAATAAATTCAATAAAAAAATTGAATTGAAAAAAACTGGAACTATGAAGGACAACAATATATAGACAAAGCAAAGCAATTATAGAAAAAAGAAGCATACTTCATTGAATTATAGAAAACCAACCATGTTTGTGTTAATATTTTGTAGTATAGTCATTATTATCAATCATCGCCTGGTATCGTCTCGCCATAGATTGTAGAAGTTGCTTGATATAAGATTCACCAATCTGTCTCCATTTTTGCTCTAAAGCGGCAAAAAGTTCATCCTCGTTTGAATAATTTTTATCTCGTATTTGCTTATCTAAGTATTCCCGTAGATTTTCAATAGGGTTTATATCGGGAGACTGTGAAGGCCATTTGAGAACTAGTATTTTTTCATCCAGAAAGAATTTCTTTGCGAGATTTGAAGTGTGCTGCGGGTCATTATCTTGCTGGAAGATTGATCTTAAGGGCATATTGTCTTCCATATAGGGTAACATGACATCCTTTAGTATGTCTGTGTATACAAACTTATCCATAATGCCATCTATTCTATGTAAAGGTCCCATCCCAAACCACGAAAAGCACCCCCAAACCATAACACACCTGCCTCCATGTTTGACAGTGGGCAAAGTGTACTTGGGGTTCAATCATTGTCCACTAGGACGTCTAACGTAATGAACACCATCTGATCCAAACATATTGAATTTGGATTCGTCACTGAAATATACCCTCTTCCAGTCACAGATGCTCCAATCAAGATGCAACCATGCAAAATGTAATCGGTCCTTACGGTTTTTTCTCGAGATTAGCGGCTTCTTACTCGGGCGACATGCAAATAACTTCAAATCATTTAATCTTCTACTTATAGTTTTCTTAAAAACAGTGGCAATTCTTTATGTCTCGTTTTCGGATTTTATTTGTCTTGGTGTTCTAAACGGATCTTTGGACAAAATTACTTTTATTAATCTAATTGATCTAGCAATTAGTTTTCTAGGCCGATCACTTCTCTTAGAGGCTTCCAAGATACATTTTTGTTTATATTTGTTCAATATTGCCCAAACTGCTTTACAATTCAGCTTCAGATTTTTGGCAATGTCGACTTGACGTTGACGGTCTTTGTATAACTCAGTGATCTTAGTTTTCACATCGAAAGAAATTTCTGGACTATGGGGCATGGTCTTAAAATCACTCAACTTATTTCAGAATACTGAACACAAACTAATCCTCTTCTGACATGAAACTGTACTGAACTAATGTTGAAAAGAATTTGTCTACATATTTTTGTAGCTCATAAAAAAGTGCTTATATTCAGATTTGTATTGTGTTCATTGCAGATAATGTAAAAACAAGGAATTCAGTTTTTCTACTAATAACGCAATGAAGCATGTATTCGTTTTCTAAAGGTATTTAGGTAAATATTCATATTTGTCTATATACTTTTGTCCATTACTGTATGTATAAATCAAATTGGTTTCTTATCAAATTGCTGGGAGGCATGTTATCAAGCTATTTATTCACTTGAAAATTGATTGGTATTGCTTATTGTAAACACAGCCAGATGTAAGCCATTTAAAAACATAGATTTCGTTTCTGATTTATACTAGACTAAACTGGCATCTTCACTGACATTGAAGTAAAGACTTAGGTTGTTAGGAGTTTACTTGGAAATTTATCTGATTTTTGAAGCTCAAATATTTACTCTTGTTTTTTCCTAGAGTGCATTCTTTTCGTAATAAAAAAAATTAATGCCACTAATCCCCGCCGCTAGTGCACGTTCATTTTAAATCAAGACTTTTTAAAGTGGATTACTTTTTTCATCATCAGTAAATTTCAATGAATCCTCATTTAAAAAAGATGTTTTTCGGAGCTGGTAGCTCTACGTGCACGGAATACTGGGACACCCTGTATAGTATACAGATTTGGTTAAGTCAAAATTGACGTATTATTTTCAGGTGATGAGGAACATCTTGGCGTCGGAGCCGCGAGTGACCCGTTTCAAGATCAATTGGGAAGAGACGACGCCACAAGAACCGATGGTCCCCGTCAGCGAACAGAACGGCAGCAGCGCCTCTACGTCGGCGTTAGGCCCGCCCGGCGTGTCGGCGGATTGTGACAGTACGACCGGTACAACTTCAACGGCAGCCGCCACCGCTTCGTCGACTACCACAGTCGACATGCCAGCGTTCAACGAAAATTCGAACTCGTGGGCCACGATGGAGTGTTCGTAGATGTAGATGTTTTTCGGAGAGGGCTCTAGTTGTATTAGCTGACAATTCGTTGGACGTTCAGTATACGGTATATTTGAAGGAAACGTTCAGATTACTTATTGCCAACCTAAATGTTTCTTCATCCTTGTTCTGTTCAGAGCTGGAATTTTGAACTTCGCTCTATTCGTTCTTGCGGTTTGCGCTTCAAAGTACTTTGAAATGCATTTATCAATGTTATAGGTATTTGTTTTAGTTTTCAGCAGTTTGTTTTTTATGTATTTGCTGTTCCTTATATCTAGATGCCCTTTGTCTGTACTGTACATAACTTTATGATATATTTTGTAAAATTTAAGATCTTTACCAGTTTTATACGGTTAAAAATAAACTTTTTGATATCAATCGTTTTTCATTTAGCCAGGAGTGTTGGCGGCCCACAGCATGAATTTAAGTGAAGGGTACCGGGAAAATCCGGACTGATTTTGAGAAAATCGGTAATTAAGGTTTACTTGTTGGAAAGTAAAATTGACGAAAAAATAAGTCGTAAAGAATATCTTTGCTAAACAGTGTGTTTATTGGTAAAATAGATTTTACAAAATGAACTTTTATTCAAAACTAGTAACGTAACAAACAAAAGATGATGTTCAACTCTGGACTCGTGCCACTTTTCTCCTGCTTTAAGCGTCTGTTGGCGGGTCATCGACATATTCATCACTGCTGTCTTCTGGATGATCATGAGATATTAACTGTTAATAAAATGCCCTGGAATCTGCTCTCTCTAGAAATTTGGTCAGATCCTGCAGATCCTTCCATTTCTTACTTTTTATTGGGATTGGGCCGTGGTAAGGTTTTCTCAATGTTTCCTCTTCTCGTTTTTGTTGATCTTTTTGCGTTTTTTTTTAGATTCTTCAGAATTACCTTATCAAATTTAGAACTAGCATATACGCCCATTTATGTCGATTTGTGAAAAACTACGCGAAGATTCTGTTAACAAAACTTGAGCATCTTGAGTGGTCGGATTGGAAAGGGGCAAAATTTTGCCACAATCAATGACTTCAAATTGTGTAGGTTTCACACGGCAATTTTTCAGTTCATCTCTGAAGTCGTCTGGTACCTCAGTGGATGCTCTTTGGTTCACGAGACTCATATCTCTATCACACTCGAGGTATGAATGCCCCCTGATCGGGAATGTTACTTTCACAGTAGTAAGACGGTTTTTCTTGGTAACCAAGTAATGCAAAAACCGAATAACTGTAAAGTTTTTAGTTTGCCCTGCACAGGATTCTGGGAATTGGTGAAAATTATGCTCAAAAACTCCGTGTTAATTGAAAAGGCACCAGTCTACTAGTTAAAATAATTTCATTCTACCACAAATGTATGAAAATGGTTTTTATTTTTTCACGCGAAAACGGTGTATTGGATAGAAAAAAGTCAACAGGTCAAATTTGTTGCAAAATAACTGGGGATTTCCATAAATGATTTTTATTTTCGGAAAAAATCAATGATATACCATGTTTTTTCATAAATCTTTGGTATACATCCCGTACGGACGCCACTGGAGGATATATTAGAAATATGTTCTGCATCAAAAAATGCCTATTGGTGCTTAGTAGGTCCATGTTAAATTTCATGAAAATATTTAGAACAGTATTAAAGTTACGATAAGAAAACAATTTTTTTTTAAATATTAACATCCTGTAGCTCAAAAATTAAGAGGTTTAGAACATATATGTTCGTATAAACTTTTCTCCCTAAAATAAGCTAAGGAATCATATGCTGTATTTCCCAACATCAATTATATTATACCCTGTAGAAAATAATCTGTAATATTGCAATTTCGTATAGCAGATCTTGATATAGTTTTGGCTGAACAACTAAGTTTCAACACACATGTTATGAACACTATTGTACTTAAGTCTTCAAAAGTAATTGGCTTTGTGTTGCGTAATTCTAGAGAGCTATCTACTGAAACTTGTAAAAGACTATCAGTATGTCATTTGTAATGTCTTTGTTACGCATAAAATATTATACCCTTTCTTTGCTCAAAATCATTTAAATCAGATGAATATTAAGCGTCGTTCACAAATTATATAACCGAGTCTTAATTCTCAATTTTGTTTGACATATAGTATCTAAAGAAATACAAAAAAAAACCTGTTGCTTACCAGGATTGAACCCCGGGACAACTGAGTAGTAACTGCAGTATCTAACCACTACGCTAAACAGATGCTGGGAAATAAGTTACAGAAACATCTACACATTCATACCAAACCATGACCATCTACCGAATTGAAACGGCAATCGAACGATTCGATTTTTGGCGATGAGAAAAGCTGGCCAGCCGTAGTGCAACGACCGACGTACGACGGCAACAGCGCAATTGTGCACCAGTCGAGGTATTTCAATAGATCTGCCGTAAGAGGCATATTGTACGTGCACAATATGACAACTCCGAAAATTTAAACCTTATGACATTAGACCATTTAAGACAGTACGACATTATATAACAATAACCTTACTTTTGGGTGCGGCCAGAGATAAACCCTTGGTGCGGCGTTCTCAACTTCTCAGCATGGTATAGTCGTTACCTGATAAAATCTTGTTTGATCATCGGTATTTAAGCAGCACGCCAATATAGTAAAAATTAGACACAACAATTTAGTCACAGTGCAGAATATGTTGAACAAAGCTAAAAAGTAAAACAATGTCATTAAGTGATTGAAATTGAATAATATGAAACGTGCAATATCATAAAGGGTGTTTCAGAACTATGGGATCAAACTGTAGGGGTTATTCAGTGTAACAGTATAGGGACCCATATCCGGAAAAGCATTGTTATGATGATATCATGTACGAAAGGCAAAAATTAAATGCATTAAATCCTATTTAGGCAATTTATCGTCTTTCTAAATTTTAACGCGTCTTAGGGCCGAAGTGACACTTTTACGGATATGGGTCCCTATACTCAAATGTTTTCTACTCTTACACTGAATAACTCCTAAAAGTCTCATCCTTTGGTTCTGAAACACCATGTATAGGCAACCGTATCTACCCAAATTTGTATTACCGGTTGCATAGTACGGGTTACATGAACGTACGTCTCGTTTATGCTTGCAAATATGTATACAGGGTATCCAAAACAAATTTCATTCGTGTAAAGGCAGTTATGAATATGCGTATTGTAATGAAAACAAAATTCTTGCGTTGATCTTTCATGTCGGATCAGTGTTAACTAAATCTATGGAATATTTATCAAATCTAAGGAACTTTCAATTATGGGGCCGAGTAAGGCTTGCTTCAAATGTAAAAAAGCATTGTTGATATGTTATTATGCGCACATCGCAAACTTTCGAGTAGAGGATATTTTTGGTTTTAGATAAAAAAGTAAAAAGCTAACGACACGCGGTGCTCCCAAGCGGTCACCCATCCAAGTACTAACCGCGCCGGCGATAAGGGTGAAGTTCTCATAGCGTGGTATGGTCGTTACCTAATAAAATTTTGTTTGATTCTCGGTATCCAAACAAAACCTGTCAAGCTAATTTTAGTTCAATATCCACTCTAAAGTAGTATCCACATGATTTTTATTTATAATGTAGTGTTTTTCTGGGTTCTTTTGGGTGTGGATTAAAACACTGAATTCCACGAAATGCATTAATATATTTAACTTGACTAGATATAACATTTAGACAAAGCGGCAGTCTATAATATTCGAGGTCACTTCGCGTCGATCTAGAAGGCCAGTCACTGGCACGGTCCTCAGTAGATGTCGCCAGTACCGAAGGAGAGCCTCGCGGTCCCCAACAAATATCGCCCCCAAAAGGAGAGTCGGGCGCGGTCCCCAGCAGATGGCGCCAACAGTTCTATTCATTCTTGTTATAATAAAATGAAAAACAAAGCAATGCCATCACGTCTATCTGCACTAACTTCTATAAATGCCGACTATCATTTTAATGATATCAGTCACAAGCATGATAACAATTACAGAAGAAATTAATCAAACTTCTGGGAATTGGTGAAAATTATGCTCAAAAATTCCGTTACATTCATACATACAGGCGAAGCTAATATACGCGTGTTAATTGAAAGGGCATCAGCCTACTAGTTAAAATAATTTCGTTATAACACAAATGCATGAAAATGGTTTTTATTTTTTCACGCGAAAACGGTGTATTGGATAGAAAAAAGTCAACAGGTCAAATTTGTTGCAAAATAACTGGGGATTTCCATAAACGATTTTTATTTTCGGAAAAAATCAATGATATACCATGTTTTTTCATAAATCTTTGGTATACATCCCGTACGGACGCCACTGGAGGATATATTAGAAATATGTTCTGCATCAAAAAATGCCTATTGGTGCTTAGTAGGTCCATGTTAAATTTCATGAAAATATTTAGAACAGTATTAAAGTTACGATAAGAAAACAATTTTTTTTTAAATATTAACATCCTGTAGCTCAAAAATTAAGAGGTTTAGAACATATGTTCGTATAAACTTTTCTCCCTAAAATAAGCTAAGGAATCATATGCTGTATTTCCCAACATCAATTATATTATACCCTGTAGAAAATAATCTGTAATATTGCAATTTCGTATAGCAGATCTTGATATAGTTTTGGCTGAACAACTAAGTTTCAACACACATGTTATGAACATTATTGTACTTAAGTCTTCAAAAGTAATTGGCTTTGTGTTGCGTAATTCTAGAGAGCTATCTACTGAAACTTGTAAAAGACTATCAGTATGTCATTTGTAATGTCTTTGTTACGCATAAAATATTATACCCTTTCTTTGCTCAAAATCATTTAAATCAGATGAATATTAAGCGCCGTTCACAAATTATATAACCGAGTCTTAATTCTCAATTTTGTTTGACATATAGTATCTAAAGAAATACAAAAAAAAACAAAAAAAACTGTTGCTTACCAGGATTGAACCCCGGGACAACTGAGTAGTAACCGCAGTATCTAACCACTACGCTAAACACACGCTGGGAAATAAGTTGCAGAAACATCTACACATTCATACCAAACCATGACCAGCTACCGAATTGAAACGCCAATCGAACGATTCGATTTTTGGCGATGAGAAAAGCTGGCCAGCCGTAGTGCAACGACCGACGTACGACGGCAGCAGCGCAATTGTGCACCAGTCGAGGTATTTCAATAGATCTGCCGTAAGAGGCATATTGTACGTGCACAATATGACAACTCCGAAAATTTAAACCTTATGACATTAGACCATTTAAGACAGTGCAACATATATAACAATAACCTTACTTTTGGGTGCGGCCAGAGATAAACCCTTGGTGCGGCGTTCTCAACTTCTCAGCATGGTATAGTCGTTACCTGATAAAATCTTGTTTGATCATCGGTATTTAAGCAGCACGCCAATATAGTAAAA